GTATACATGAATAGATGTGGGTCTCTTCTCAGTCCAGAGAAGCAACCACTCCATGCTAACTAAACTGATTTAACTGAAGTTGTAGCACATGATCTAACTACAATTTCTGAGGCTTGCTGCTCTCCTTACGAAATACTTGTACAAGGAAACGCTGATGCACACCATGGCAGTTCAAGGCTATGGCAGCTAACAAAAGAAATTGAACAGTGAAGTATTGCAAGGGCTATCAACTAAACAGAGTAAGTGAGAACAAAAGTATACCGACTTAAGTTTAAGCTAAAGACACTAGAATATATTAATTGTTTGAATTGCATCTTCATTCGCTAAATGGAAAGATGCACTAAGCAAAGATGTAGTTGGATTAAAATAAAATCATGATTTTTGCTGGGGTCTGTACCAAACAACCATGTTACCTCACATTTGGAGAATATGATACCATAATGGTGCATTTATAACGGAATGTTGTGACATATTTTACCTTTATCAAGAAATGTATGTATGCTGGTACATTACTTCTTTTACACTTACACAAATACACAGGAATTATAATTACATCAATAGCCTACATCCGTTTGACCCATCTAAAATAGCCAGCAGGCTTCCACAGAATCAATCACATTTTTTCCATGCAGTACATGCAGCGTGACATGCTCTAAATCTGACCTGAAATATCTAAAGAAAACTAATTCTAACACTGATGACACCATATATCAAGTTGACTGATCAAATAAACTGAGAATAAAATAAATAAAACACACACACACAAAAAAAAGCCCCATCACAGATCACATTACAAACACCATTTGCGGAAGCACACAAATAGTTGCATGTTTCAAACAGAAAGAGTTAAGAAATTTCCTTGAAAAGCAACAAATATTACCCTGACAAACACACAAATGTGTTAATGACTTTTTCTATATTACAGCATTACTTCCACCACTCCAAAGCACTTATACAAACCCCCAACAGAACGCAAAAGGATTTGTCAATCTGTAGGAATTATAAAATTTTCAACACCGACAGGAATGAACATGATGCAACATGACCCACGGGTACATCAGTGAATAACTATGCAACAAAAAAAGTTAATAAGTAGTTACAACTTAAGTTAGGTGTGTGAATTCTATTCGCCGAAATCATGTAAGCTACAGTCACGGTAAAACATAAACTGATCTTGCCTCCAGGGCAAACGCGTTCCCCCCTCTCTCCCGTAGACGCACACACCACACCCATTCCTCTACCTGTGACTCGCCCAACAAGCGGAAAAGTGCGAAATAAAAGCGTGTCTACACTTGGCTTGCTGTGACAAATCTCGGTACATTTAGTCGACATGGACCCAGAAACGCGTCCAGTACATTTACAGACATGGCTCTGACGAGAAGCACGATTTAGTGTATGAAAATCAACCGATGGCGGCTTTTCTTTAGGCCCTCGTGACCCATTTCCAGTATGGCGCAGACTATTTCCTGAAGCAGAAGCATTCCAAACCAGACAGCCTTTATAAATGGGCTAGGCATTATACCCATTGTCACAGCTACTCTGACGCGCTCGCCATGTGAAGCCACACACCTTTAAACATTTGTGTTTCCCTCAAATCAAAAGATTATGAACTTGGTTGGTTAGCGCGACGCCAAGCCTTTAAAAGGTGTGGATCTTAGTTGAACCGCCCGGCTGGTAGCCGATGCTGAAAGACAATTTGCCTTTTCTTGTTAGTTCGCTAATACACTATCTGCCACCTTACGTTAGCAAATAAAACTGATATACTGTCAGCAAAATTGTAACGTCAAATACACTAAAACTGAGATCAACATAACTTATAACATAAACTGAAAAACAATATATTTAACTGCGAGCAATAGCAATCCTTCCTCCAAGACAATACATTCCCGTCACCTTTGCTCATTTACACTGAGTGACATGCACACTTCTTAAATTAGAATAACCTAGCAAATTACTTCACTTAACAGGTTTAACGTTTGTAGCCAATGTTATATATATATATAATATTTGATCGACAACCTTCGACCCGACACGCCTTCCCCGTCTTGTGTCCCATTTGAAACCAGCCATTAGACATATCCCAAATTGTAGCTAAGCTAGTCATTGTTCGCTGGTCTGATAGCTGTCGCCGCTCCATATAGCCCAAAGTCATTTGGAGAAAATGCACTTCCACTGTCTCTATATTTTACTATTAGTTAGAACACTTAACAATGACTAATGCAAACGTAAAAGTACAATTTTAAAAACTGTAAGTCCTATCATACCTGAGTACTGGCAGATAGCAGTGATGTCGGCGTACCAAGCTACAGCTGATTCTCTCAGCGCGTCTGAGTGAATACAGTCCACGGGGTTTCCCTCCAATCACACCAATCCAAGGCACGGCCCGGAGGGAACAGGGGTTGGGGGTGACGTCAAACGTTACCCAGGCAACCGAACAAGAGACATTATGGGAGTTGTAGTGTTACCCCACATACCATTATAAAGGCCGTCCTCATCAAGAAAGATAACCATAATGATAACGGTGAGAACCAACTCACTGATATTCAAAAGGATATTGATGATCGTAACGCTCCACTTAAAAGTGTTTCTATACCCTCAATTACCTTACATAAAAGCCAACAGAGTGGGGTCAGTTGCAACATCTGAATTCTTCCATTCAAATACATATTTTGAATGATATGTCATATGTAATCATCTTTAAATGGCATCTGTAATTAGTAGACAAAAGTCAGTTTAATAGGCCTTTATAAAAGTTTGGTTGGTCTAGTCCAAATATTCTCTGAATAACTGAGGGAAATGCAAAAAGTGTTGCAACAGTCCCCAGTCTCCCCTACTTGCTATGGATGCTGAGGGCATCACAATCTAGAACACAGGACACAGAACTACAGTATATCTTGCCTAATAGAAATTACTATTTCTGCATTCTGGTTGGTTTCCAAGGGGAGAGAGTGAGGCTATTTTTGCCTTGTCATGTTTTCCCCAGGGCCAAGATTTCAAGCTTGTAACCTATTTAAGGGCAAATGAGAGAGTATTGGCTGTAGAAATGCAGAGGTGCCAGTAAAAAAAGAGTGAAAGTCTCCTTTCCCTTGTTAAGGTGTGGTTCACAAGGGTTGTAGTATGAAACCAAAAAGATTTCAAGTAAAGTAAAAAGAAACATGTGCAACCAGTTTGTCCACATTTTTACAACTTGAACACACACGCACACTCATCCAAATAACAACCAAATTTCAAATGTTTCACAGAAGCTTTCTTCAAAGTTATCAGCAATATTCACAGTTGTCAAACATAGGTCTGCAAGAGTCACTCAGCTTCTGTATTTTGTAACAGTTAAGGATTATGGCTGGAGGATTATGGGAAATGTAGGACCTAGTGCTTTTGGTGCTTGACTCATATTAGGGACTGAAAGTCAGGATATTTTGGCCACAGCTGCTTAAATTTCAACTATAATTTTGTGCAAAATAGATATCTACATCAGTAAAGTGCTAAATTGGAGTAAGGATAAACCCCTTGAGATGCACCATCTTCTTTTTGAGGGGCCCTTAGGCACAAAACACATCTTTTTTTTTAAACTTTTTTCAAAAAAAAAAAAAAAAAAAGCCAAAAAAAGCAATCAGTATAAAATAACACTGAAAACATGTTTGTCCTTTTCCCACTGCTCTGTTTTGTAGTTTGTTACTTGTCTCAATCTTGAGTCACTAACCTGCAAACTTGATATCCTGGTTTAGGAATGTGCTACAGGAAGTACTAAAACCTTATTACTGTTACAGTACCAGATTGGTGTTTTAATCCATGTTTTTGTAGTTTCATAGTAGTACAGCTTTGTGTATCTGGGATTTCTGGGTGCATTTGTGGCATTGCAAGCACTATATGTTAAATCATTTTGGATGCAGTTTGATTAAGGCTTTTTATGTATTTTATCTCTTATCGTGCACAATTTGTAGGGTCACCACACTGCCACCTGTCCAAGGACATAATTGCTGTGGGGAGGTGACATCAGTGGTGAGGTAAAGACACTGAATAGAAAGAGGTGCTTTTGTGGACACCTGTGTAGCTACAGATTTAATTATAGTTTCAGTTTACAGTTTAATTATATTTGATGATGCTGTAGAAAATAATGGTAAACATTTATGTGTGTATGTATGCAAACCCACTTGGGTAACAGAAGTCGTCGTCCATTTTGAAAATGAACTACACCTGCGGCTGAGATGAGGAGAATGCTCCAATTTCTGCCTTGCAGATCCTACAAACCACGCCCACTTTGATTTGCAGCAGTCATTGCTCGCGGCGAAGGAGAGTCCAAACCCCAAACCCTAACCATATTTGGAAGTTCAACTTCCTTCACGTTCGTCCGACGGATGCAGCTGGTTATGAAGGTAACGTTATCACCTGCCCTCTGATTGGACTCATCAGATTCCGCTATAAAGGTCAAAACTCGTATTCTTACCTGTGAATATAGTTTGCGTGCTGAGTTTTACACCTAATTGCTGCTTTGTGTCTGTACACAGATGACAATTTTCTTTCAAGGTGTCTTTGTTTAACTTCACCACCATATCATATCATATAGGTAAGCGAAGTCAACCCCCATTGGAATCAGTATAAAACATACAGAATGAAGTTGTCTACAGTCTGTATGTAGATGGAAGAACATGTCCTGTATTTGGAAGTGGAGCCATGTTTATATCTGTAGAAGGGGCACTGTGTTCAAGTACTGTATGTGTACCTGTTCCACATAGGCTGTGAGATCTAGTGCCAGTTTTAGTTTAGCTACACATAATGAGTATTATTACTAAAAATAACTTTACTTTCAGTGTATTAGACTGAAAGAAAGAAAGACCTGAAACCCGACTTTAACAAGGTTTTCTACATCAACTGAATGGGCTAGTATGGTAGGTGGAAACACAATAGGGAGGGAAATTTCCACATATTTTAGCACTGTTCAAAAATATATTTAACAAACAAACAAACACACACACACACACACACACACACTGTAGTGACGGTTAATATAAAAGTAATACCTTTATTAAAAGGCTATACATTACATTGCGTGGACAAAGATATTATTACAAAAGTAAAAACATGGCTGGTTTTCTGTCCAGACTTTAGCACAGTGATACAATGTCAGTGGTTAATGACCAGTAGGTCCAAATGTATTGAAAATAGTTCCTTTCTATAAATTAAATCTCTGTTCGCATGCTATGAAAAGAAACCAATATAAAAATATGAACCAAAGCTAACTTACAGTGTAGTGTAGTTCAGACTTTTAATGCAGGTTCAGAGTCTAAATACTTTTGCACCATAATGACAGGATAACACTAAAGAGTGTGAGACTGCACTTGGGATTGTTTTCACATATGCTACCAACTGTGAGACAGGTTATACTGCAAAATACAACAGTGACGAACAAAATCATGATCAAATACTTCAGTGCTGCACATAAATATGCCACATACTTATTACAATGACAAACTGAGGGTATAGGAGTAGCTCATTATTGTTATCATTTACAACACCCAGCGCAAACTTTTATTTTCACTGTAATTCACTCAAGAGACCACTTCTAACAGGAACAAAGATCATTAAATGTTTTAAGCAGTCAACACACTGCTCTGTGAAAAGAGGAGCTGAAGAAACTGTCATGGAAGGGTTTGCTAGAAGACTTGCAGTGCCCTCTGTGGTCAACTTTTACAACTCTTCCTTGTACGAAAAAATTACACTATGGACATGAACTACATACATTTCATGAAACTCTAAGGGGAAATGCAATGAACAATTTCAGTACCCGTGTCGCACAATGTGTTTAATATATTCTTTTTATCATCAAAAACTACAGACTTGTCTTGAAATATTTGAAATGATCTACGCAAGGAAAAAATAAAATCAGTTCACATTGGAAGTAAATCTGAATCTACTCACATTATTAGTGGTTTTGATTGAGTTTTTTTCCAAACACTATGAACTCCAAAGTCTTTCTGAATAAACTAGAATTATGAGCCCAACCCTGGTGCTTCACTAATTAATTTCAGTCAAAAATCCTTTATGGGTTTCACAGTATATTGGATTTGATTGCAGATGACTTCCAATTATCATCTTAGAATCATAACTTTGTTCAGCTGAGCTAACGCCAATTCATATTTCCTTCTGAACTCAAAGCTCATCCTGGAACAGTGCCCTGAGATGTTGTAATGGTGGTAGAGCCCATGGACAAGCTGGTATTGTAAACATAACATTTTGAAATGAAATACAAATATTGCATACAATATAGGATGAATATATACATTGTTTGGCACAAGCCAAAAGAGGGTACTAGCTACGGTGTGTCTCCCTTCAGTAGTCATCCTGGATCAAATTCTGGCAAAAAAAATTGAATCCTGAAAGTTACCGTGGACATGCAGCTAAGTACCATCCCTGCATTAATTAGTGAATTAAGCAGCATGAGGAATAATTGAAGTTGTATTGGAGATATTCTATCTAAAACACTGCAAATTGTAAAAGCCTGTCCTGAATCAGCCCCCAACTGTCTTACTGAAGTAGAAGTCAATCTGTTACACCTCCACATCGGCCAACTCTGGGGGCATTGGGGACTTTGGATGTTTGCTTTCAAAGTGCTGCTTAAAGGTCTTCGGGTCAGGCATTTGTGTCTGAGGAAATGTGGAAAGAAAAAAAAGTGAAAAATTAGAAAATACACATTTAAGCACACAGTCCATGAAAAGGAAAACCACATTACTTGAAAAAACAAACAAACAAACCAGAAAAAAGGTGTTGACTATTTACAGTAATACTCTCACAAAATCAGTTTGCCCTGGTACATCAACAGCACCATAATGGTAGATATCTTTCACAACAAGATAACTCGACAGGTCCAAAGATGCACTGTCCATGAGATTAAAAACAGCAGCTTGTTCATAATCTGTGAGAGCAGCTACCTACTTTGGTGGTCAGTAATCACTGGGACAAGATATTACTTAACAGGATAAGGGAAAGAAAACATTGCATTTAGAGGTAACATACAGGGAGCCATTTTTCGTGGTTGAAAAAAATGTAGCGAGACAGTAATGCCAGAATTTGCTTATATCATTCCAGCCATTGTTTAGAACTTCACCATTCCCAAAACAGAGACAATCAGTGCAATTAAGCTGCAAACACAGACAGTGGTGTAAGTAGGAATATTATATGACACATATGAATGTATAGAAGATCATTCATTAAGCACTTTTAGTTTTGCCAATTTTCATACCTGCAATGCGCATCTGGACAATCACTGAACAGGGCATGGCCTTCAGATAGTCTAAGACTAGACAAAGATTTGGGCAAAGGCTCCTCAACCAGCTTTTCACATTAGTGTCTACAAGAGCATGTACATGCTTTACGATTTGGTTACAGATCCCCAAAGATGCACAGACAGGGCCTGTGGGTCAGCTATGGTTCATCTATCCATCATGCACATTGAGTTTAATTTAACAATTTTTGAAATTTCAATGAATCTACAAACAAATTAATATTGCTCTGTACAGGGAGGCATGCGGGTCGGTTGCCTTACTGATTTCCATCCTTAAGTCATGGTTAAATGATACCAAAGTCTTAAGAGAATAATTATTTTATGTTCTGTTTTATGCCTAGGCACATACCCGACACACAGTGCACGTGTATACTAAAGCAGCCTTTGCTGCTGCCTTCTGGTCATGGCCTTTGCTCTTCTTGATGTCTGCCTGCTTTTTGGCATTCTTCTGCTGGGACTGGAACTTCTGGTGCCCACGGGCCATATCTGATGCTAGACCTGAAGAAATTATACAGGAATTTGATAAGCACAACACCATGAAGAAGGCGATGAGCCATGAACTGAGAGAGAATATAAACCTGGCTTGCAAAGAATGACTTCCAAGAAAATGGAAAGCACCAAGGGACTGAACTGTTTGGAAATGCAAAAGCAGTTACACCAGCTGAGGCTGGGATCAACCACCAATCACAAAATTAACCCTTTGGTCACAACCCTCTTGTAATTTTGTTAACTTACTCGGCAACCTTTAACACTGAGAAAGTCATACACCCATGAGCACTGTGGGTTATGTGAGGTCAGTCTCCGCTATGCATTGCTGCCATACGGATACCCTAACAATATGAGACTGCTGGTAAGCCAGTAACGTCAGCCAACTTTAGTTACAACAACGAGGGTTTCGTTTAAAAGCGACAGTTGAAAGTGGTTAATATGGAAGACAGGATCGCCTTAGCGACATAAAAGTTGCATCCTTTGGGAGATTTATCGTTATATCACAAATATAACATGCATTTAAATGTCTGCTAATTATGAGACAAGCATTCTGTTAGCCGGTTGCTATCACTGACGCCAGGTTAGCTAGGTAGAACAGTATGGAGGAATACATACAGAAAATAATTGACAGATATTGTTTAAGAGTCATAATATTGTTAATTGTTAATGCCTTACCAGTGAAAAATAAATGTATTACTGGAGATAGCCACCAATATAAAACTCAAGGAAACACGTCGTTAAGTCCTCTGAACCTTCCGCCGCCTCCAGTGGCTTGTCCTTCTTCTTCTTCCTCTTTTTGTTTATTGGCGGATCACAAACCAACTTCGAACACCGCCCCCCAGTGTGTCGGACTGTGTAGACGGCATTAGGTCATCTGAATACTGATTGGTCTATTAAAAAAATCACACCCCATGTATTATATAACATATCACCCCCCTATGGTTTCCCTGAGATCCTGTGCTCACTCACTAGTGATTTTAAACCCAATTCCTCCTCTGTCCCATGTACTATATTTCTTATTAATGTCTCCTCCTCTGAATTATATTTACCTTACATATTTACCCCAAGTGGATTTAAAACCTGCATGCAAGAGCCTTAATCATGTTATGATCACCTGCTGTCTGTGGTTATGATATTTTCCTTTAAAGTGTTTAACATGAACTGCCTTCTGTATTTTTTAATAAAGTCTTCCTTTATTGTCTGTAACACGTTCCTCCTGCCAGGTGTTAATTATGGCTGTACTAATGAATGGTTTTGCCTCTCCCCTACCATACGCTACTTTTATCACTTTGTTATCATATACTTTTATCGGCTTGCACATTTTCATACTTTTAACACCCTTATGAACAAGGACCCAACAAAACTGCACTTCCATACCCATCCTTAAACACATAATGTGAGTTTCTATAATGAGTTCCTTTCTGACTGTTTGCCTTGATGACAAACTTCTTAGAGCTGAAAAATTATCTCTGCTGAAAATAATGACAATTTACAATTTATCAATCATTCTGTGATATATTGGCCAATTCTTCCTCTGGGAGCTGTAGATTAACGTATGGTTCTGGTGTAATCTATGGAGGAACATTACTTCAACCAACAGACTGTAGTTTAACTCCTTCATACTTGTTCATATCTTTTTTGTATTCCAACCATAATTTCATTAAATCATTAAGCTTAGTATACTCCCAGAATCAACTTAAAACCTCATTGATGGAGTATCCTTTTCCACATCCTTTTCCTTTTAAGCTTTAATAGCAACTAGAGCATATATTGGGGTTGTTCTCATAGCCCCTAAACATAATCTTAATGCTCTGTCTGAACCCTGTTTAATCTTTATAAAACTGTTTTACATGCAAATATTGTTTGGCAAAATTTGAAGTCTTTATTTCTTGCCAGAGAGATTGCCAATAAAATTATTAAAATTCTATTAGCAAACTGTTCTAACATGGAAGCCATCTTTTGTCCATGATTTCTCACCTTACAAAACTTGTGTCTGGAGCAACTGTGACATACTTATCAGAAACAAGTCTTTATTCTTTTCTAATTGGCTCCAAAGAGAAATAAAATTCATATTATCAGACTTTTTGATGAATATGTTAATATGCTGTCATATATGGTTTATGTCTGTACACAGTTTTCCAGTTCCATCCTTTCTTTAACTTGTGCTATTCCAGATACATTGTGAAAAGCCACTTAAGTTCTGGTGAGAATAGTATAACAGCCCCTCGTGGAGAAGGGCTTGGCTTTTACCTTATAAATACTGTACATCAAACAAGGCTAAGAAGGTACATTTCAAAATTTCACAAAATATATACCCTGCTAGTTATCTTATTGCCAAATTTGTAGACGTTGATATTTGTTGTATCTTTTGTACACATAATAGAGAATATATATATTTTATTTAGAATTTATAGATTTTTTTTGATTGTGAAATATTCTTATATATATATAAGGTTTTTGAAAGACCTGGAGTCTAAACTCTGTCTATTCCTATAACCTTAAAGATATTATCTGTAATCCAAATGATGGCATGAATATCTTATGAATTTCATTATTCATTCACAAACAGAAATTTGCTAAAGCAATTTCTTTTCTCTGACTAAATACTTTAATATCTTTGTACCCCTTTGTACTGCCTTTTTTTTCTAAAGCAATTGTCTTTTGTTATTTTTATTTTGTGTTCTCCATTTGTAGGCTACTTGTGACATTTACATTTGATTTGTATGTGCCACTGTTTACCCGAATTACTATATATTTCCTTTTGTCAATAAAAGTTTTACAGTATTGTTACAACAAACAACTTTAAAGGTCTTTATTTATAACTGAGCCAGCTTCTCATGAGCCAGGCTGTTGCTCCTAATGGAGGAGGGCTGACTCTTACCTTTAAGAATATCTATGTTCATTTTTATTTCAAAGTTGTTGTTTTTTTTTTGTCTACTTTTGTTTTTCAAACTTGTTTTACACATATATCATTTTCATACTTAGGGCTATCATGAGACATATCATCAGCATTTGTTTATGACTGTACTGTCTATATACAAACTATATTCTTCAAAAGGTTTAACAAACTTAATTCCTAGTTTTGTGTTTTCACTTCACTGTGTTATGCAGTATATCAGTTTGGCTGTAAAAATATGCGGAGCAAACCCATACACTTCAACAGCAACATGAGAGAGACTCAGAGGAAATAAGCAGTCTGTAATAGCCATTATAATCAGTCCAACCACCAACACTTGCCAGCCAGTAGCAGAATACAACACAAATCTGTCCTTCAATGCAGTACTGCCCCCATGTGGACACACAGGGGAAATGTTGCCAAACTACCAAAAGCAGTGGAAGCACCTCTGGGCTGGATCAGTGCTCCTAACATCCCAGAGAGGAGAAATAAATCACAGTCCAACTAAATCCAAAAGTGTTTTTTCTGGAGTCTGAACGGATTAGTTGTTTAGACTTGTTAAGTTGTTTGAGACAGGAATGGCACAACATTAATGTGAAAAACAATCATTTGAACATTTTGAGGGAGTTAAAAGAGGCTAAGTTAAATAAAACCAGAGTTGTTGAAAGGAGCAGAATCAGGAGAATGAGGAGTCAAAAAGTGTGAAATGAGACAAGATTAAGAGATCTAATTCTGTGTCAGCTCGCAGCGCGGGGGTGTAACTGGTATTTTAGCGTCTTAGTGGGAGGAGAGGTGTGGCAAAGGGTGAGGCGGTGCCAGTCCAGCGGCACTTTGCAAGTTTGGACATAGGATTGAGTGTCTCTTTATTTGGTGAAGGGACACCCATATAATCCTCTCTGAAATTAAACAAGACCTCTTTATTCATGTTGTGTTCGCCTTTCCACTTCTTTTGTATGTTTTTCAACCAGCTCACATGTAATCACACTGGAAATATAGTTTTGTTCTGATTATGGCATTAATTCAGAGTGATTCTTAGTCTACCAGGAAGTAGGTATCCTACGCAGTGGTGTATCCAGGACGTTTTGACTGGGGGGGCCAAGATGGGTCACAGAGCTAGTGTGGGGTGGCCATGGCATAGAGAACTTAGATGAATGGCAGGTGATCGATGTGTGTAATGCATGAACGAAATCATTAATCAAAGCTGATGCATCGCATTGCTTCAACCTATGCACAGATGATCCACTTCCCTTCACCACTTCTAAGATATTTAAACTGGTTAAAAAAAGACTGAATTCGTTATAATCTGGGACAGAGAAGTCATTATTGCAAAACATCATTTCTTTATCTCATATATAACCAAACGTGTTAAAGTCTAGTTTCCAAATATAAACAAAGACATTAGACATACCAAACAGACACTAGAAACAATACTATAGCCTACAATAATGTAAATATCATGCCTTCCCATACACAAATGTAATATGTGTACATGTAGTGAATTTCCATATATCATAGGTACATATAAAAGAAAAACATATATGTAAAAACCTATTAGAACCTATTAGAAATTGAAACAATTTCATATTTTGTCTATCTATCTATCTATCTATCTATCTATCTATCTATCTATCTATCTATCTATCTATCTATCTATGTTGGTATTAAATACAGTGGGTCCCTAAAGTCTGAGACACTTTCCCAGAATTGGAAGATGGAAATTGGTATTAAAAAACCCCCAAAAAACAAGCGTAAGTGTATACAATTTTTGTATGTATGTTGTTATATATCATTAACATATATGGTTACAACATGTTATAGCCTACTATACAAAAATTATTCTTCATAAACATATTTCTTAATATTTTTAATTTACAAATTTTTACTATGGGTATTTCATATAATTATAAATTTATATCTTCATATATCCAGGGGATGTATATATGAGATATCAATATATCCCTTTATGGGTAACATATATGGCAACATCACTCTTGATGTAGGGACGTATCTGTCATATATTACATTTCTGTCTGGGTGATATACTGCATACACTTCTGCGGCCACAATTGTGATTATTCGTTTACAAGAAACGTTGAAGTTTGTATTTGCACGTTATGAGTGTTTGATCCAGACAAAAACAGCTATAGACATCTATACGTAAACTGGGCGATGCAGCTTTAACAAGGTGCGCGCTCCCGCGGACACCAGTCACTTTTTAGCACATAAACTGAATTTGAACATTTACGTGCGCACCTCTGCCTCATCTCAGGTAACGCCTTTCGCCGCTGACTCACCAATGTGGGAACGACTGTACGAGCTGTGTAGGAACATCTAACCAATCAGCAAGGAGATCTTCGTTTCCTTGTTTGTCCTGCCTCTTCAGGTTCTCTTAATTTACCAACTTCTAAACAGAATACAAACCTAGCCCATGCGTAACCTCAAAATTTACCCGATATCAAAGACAGTCCAATATATCTTAGTACGCTCGGTTACAGATGATTTCATTGGCTGTTTTGACTGCGAGGTTAAATACAGCCCGCCTCTTGTCGGCCTAGTTTTCTCAGTCTCCCACAGAAACTTACCTGCACTAACTAGAAAGTCCAGTTTCTCAAGCAAGTCCTAGACAACATCAGAGAGTCCTGGAGGCAGCATGGATCTGGACAGGTAGGAGAGACGCATTAATATCACAGTTAATATGTTTTGTCAGTTTTACTCCTGTTCTTTTATGTGCTTCAAATATTTGAATTGTCTTGTGTGTGGCTCTTTGTTCTTTGGATATGCAGAACAGAACCTTTCTCATTTGATTAAAAACGCATGATCTCTATTGTTTATTCCTTTAACATTTATATGACATGCAGTCATTTTTATTAAATGGTGGCAAATACATCACAGACACATACATTATTTAATGAATATAATGGTAATATTACAGTGATGTACTATAAATGTTGCTAAAGATTGGTCTGTGACTGTGTAAATATTAAAAACTGTGTGTATATAATATAATAATATAAACAGTATGTACCTTTATAAAACTGAGGTCTTGCAAACAATATCACTACTTACCAGCTTCTTTGGATGATATCTTATAAATGGGATATTTAAAAAGTAACTCTTAATTTTGATCAGCTCTCAGTATATCTTTCTGTTATTTAAATGTGGTATACAGAAGCGGTTACTCCTCAGTGAACTTAGATAAACACACTTCACATGGACCGGGCTATTAGATTGTAGATTGGTGAGAAACAGCCTGGGGCAGACTTGGTGGCTTGGCAGACGTGGCCTCTGTTAATGACAGATTGACTTTGCAGTAACAACACGGCTTATTGTCTCTTCCCATTGTCCTGTCGACCTCTCAGTAAACGGCTGGTGGTGGTGATACCGAATGAAGTGTCGGTGCCCTCAGGCAGGGTGTTCAACAGTGAGGACGAGGCATGGAGGAGCTACCTGGAGAACCCACTGACTGCGGCCACTAAGGCCATGATGAGCATCAATGGAGATGAGGACAGTGCAGCAGCTCTGGGACTGCTCTATGACTACTACAAGGTGTGGAAGGCTTTACATTACAGACCAATTCATAAAAAGACAATTTCCACACAGTGTTTCAGATCTTATATTTTGTGTTTGCTATAACCCCGTCAGGTCAGAGAGAGGGGACGTGCCTCCAGCGGTCTTAAGCCCACAGACCCCTCCGCTCTTGGACCCAATAACTGTGGGAACTTGGAAATACTAGACCACCATCTTCAGGCTCTTAGATGCGTGCCTGTCAACCTCTCTCTAAACAATAGCACCACCACAGAACATCAGAGCTGCAGGTACGGAACTACCAGCCTTGCAGGAGAGAGCAGAGCAGGAGATGGTAAAGGTAAAGGTGGGGCAGCTCTTGCTCTGGTCAAGACAGAGGGCCAGACGTCCATGGGAGTGTCCTCTTCTGGAGGTTCCTGTCTGGAAGAACCCAGAGACCGGATAAGGATGGTTTACGAGCAGAGCTGCTACGATTTGTCCCTTTCTGGGTACTTGAAAGATGATCAGAGAAGCACTCCAGACAGCACGTATGAGGATACTGTGGAGGGAGAGGTGAGTGAGGTGGAGGTGGCATTATGTCCTGCTTTATAAGTCATAGTCACATTATTTGGATTTTTTGCTTGATGAGTAGTTTCCCGTTGGAAACACATGGAGCATATTATGTTCTTTCACAGATGTACCACAGAAGTCCTTCCTCAGGAGATGGTGATTTCCACTACAGCCTACCAGTGTGAGTTGAAAGTCAGATACAAACAGAGACACTGAACATGTAGATACTACAAATCCAAAAGATTTACACTGGTTTAATGTGCATGCAGATGATACAGAAGACTAGCAATAGTCTATATCTTTGTTCATGTCCCATGAAAAGACCAAGACCAACAATGTGTTAATTATGTTGTTCTGTGGCTCTCAGCCCCAAGCCCATTCATTCCTACTGAAGAAAGTTGGTCAAATATGTATAAATATAATAATATATTTTTCAATAAATTATTTCCCTAAAACAGCTGGGCATTGTAGTTTTTAACAAACATAACTCAAACAGGAGGAAATGGTGCATTTGTTGGGGACTATTTTCAACTGAAATGATTTGCTGTACCACAGGATGGTGTATTTATGCCTGAGTCAAAATAAACTACAGTGTGTGTGTTCATGGTAAGGGTGGAACATGGGTGTGGTTCATTCATATGTTTTTTACAGTTTCGGGACAAAAGTGGAGCTCTGCATTGTATCAGGCTTGTGAAGATAGTAAATATATACAATATTATAATACTTACATCTATGCTATTGCACCTCGAAGTATCTTTGATTCATTAGAAGCTCTTCTTGCTACAACAACCTTCTTTTAATGCTCCATTTGTGAATTAAAGACAAACCCTTTCCACTTCCAAACAACTTAGCCCTCTCAGAAAACACATCTTCAGAATTCATTCTAATTTGATTTGTTTTTTGTTACAATGTTAACGCCATTTGTGCTCATTTTACTTGTAAATACAAAACTGTGGTTTATTCTTGTATCAGAGGAGAGACTGTCTTCATGATGGGGTGTCAAACGTTTCCACACATGCTTATTTTCATACAGTGATAGTTTCCAATACAGTCTGGAGGCCAGCATGTCGCTGCGGCGAGGAGAAGGACCCATGGCTTACCTGAACCGGGGCCAGTTCTACGCTTTGACACTGTCTGAGACCGGCTTCAGATCATCCCTATGTCAGCACAGAGGCAAAGTGCGGGTGAGTCGACCGACGCTGTCACAGGGGCCTGATGGGAGCCCATCCAGTAGTGAGCAATGCACCATGGGAGGCTCTGAGCGGCAGCACGACAGTATTGTACAGGTGAGGGAGGGGAGATACAGTAAATGGTGAGAAAGTGTAAAGGTAGAGGTTGAAAATTAAACTGTTAGCTTATTGTTCAGTAGCATGAAACCTTTTTACACTTAGAAATGTTATATTTACTTTTTATTCACTTTAATTTTTCATTATACTATATCTTGCACTGCAGAGTGTTATCATGGTCGTCTTTGGGGAAGACAAGTGCAGAGACGAGCAGCTGAAGAACTGGAAGTACTGGCATTCCCGTCAGCACACAGCTAAACAGAGAGTCCTGGACATTGGTAAGATGATTATTGTTACACTTCTGTCTGGATGGGGTTTATAAGTAGAACAGATGGGGAGTAGATCCAGACAGAAAAAAACTCACACTTATGTAATGAGTGAATATGAATATAGATATTTTGACTCCTCAGCTGCACAAACCCATGCAGGTAAAGAGACAGTAAGCAGGTGGAAAACCTACAGGAGCTTCCATGGGAGAATCCTGTCACTATTTGAATAACTGTCAGTCCTCGATTCTCACAGGAGTTCTGTGACAAGATGGGTCTGCATTTGCATAGACGTTAACAGGAGAAATAGGTGGGGGCCTGGACTAAGGCCATATCCTGTACAATCAGCAAGAGACAGGCCTCAACCTGTGGTTTCAAACTGGATGGAATTGAGTGTCAAACACTATGGTGGTTTTGTTTGTGGCAAGTTCATGCCAATACCATGGCGGGTGGAAATTAGCCTGCATGAGCAGAGGCTGGGTGTTTTAGGGGGGTAACAAGGGCAGTGTGGAAATCTTTACTAATTTTGAATTTTTTTTTGTCTTGTGAAAAGATGTGAGATTATGATATAGATGGTTAAAGATTCACTTGATAATGAGTCTAAACATTATATTTAAAGACAGAACAGTCTCCTAGCAGCTGAACAGTGGTGGAAAGTAATAGTACATATATTCAAGTACTGTGCTTAAGTATAAGTTTTAGGCTCTTGTACTTTATTGTACTTCACTTGAGTATTTCCATTTAAAGCTACTTCATACTTCTACTCCACAAAGTTTTTGAAGGACATACTGTAGTTTTAATCCTTTACATAAATTTGACAGCTATAATTTCTTTTCAGATTATGATTTTGCATTAAAAACATATAATGATCTTATAGAATTCAGTGCGTTGTTAGAGATTAAACCAGTGGCTTTCAGCCTTTTTTGCTTTGTGATACTTTACAAAAAAGTCTAATTAGGGCTCCTTGTCATGTTTTATATGCCTGGGTAGTTTAGTTGGAGTAAACTTCCCAACTGTAACGCTTTATATTTTGAAATAGTTCAAACTAGCTTCACCTTCACTGTGTGCAACAGTAAAAAGCAACTAAGATGCTAAATGCATTGATATAGCAGTATGAACAATCCATTAATATGATACATAATGATATACCAGCCATGGGGGGCATATTTCTGTAGAACCAGGACTTTTTATTTTTGATACTTTAGGTATGTTGCTTAGAATACAATGAAATGGGATTTTGAATACAGGGTTTTTACATGTAATGCAGTATTTTCACATTGTTTATATTGTTGTATTGCTTGTGCCACAGTTTTGAAACAGTTTCCTCTGACCTTCACTTTGCTTGCAGCCGACTACAAGGAGAGCTTCTGCACGATTGGGAACGTGGAGGAAATTGCCTACAACGCTGTGTCTTTCACATGGGATGTCAGTGAAGAAGCCAAGGTAAAAAAAAAAAAAAAAAAAAGCAAAAGGAGAATGGGGAGATTGTGCTGTTTAAGTCAAAGCAAGAAATGATTGATCTAAAAGTGAAAACCTTCACTTTCACACTCAAGCGGTTAAGAATTTGATTCTGTCCTTTTTTTTCTTTCTTTTTGTAAAGACAACCACAAATTGTTGTCCTGAGGACACTTAAGCTGTAGAGACTCTCTGTCTGTACTCACCTGTTTGTCAGTGGACTGTTGACACCTCAGGGTTTTAGAATAGTTGATGAAACGTATGCCAGACCCACATCCACCCCCAACCCCCTTTGTCCTCCATGACAGACGGTGCATCTCTTGGTTTGAGTTGGGCCATTATTTGGGGTTGCAGATTTGCTGGGTACATGGCAACAAACCTTGAAAAGGAGCTACTTAGATTTCACCTTTTGTAAAGGTGGTAAAGAAAGACACACCCCCTCCCACAGCATCTGACCCCCTCGGGCTGTTTTGGGCTCAAGACATTGTGGCTCCCAAAAGAGCCTCATTGAAGGAGAGCTATTTCCAGATTTGTGGATTTGCCGATAAATATTTACTGTTTGGCCAACACCTTTACTCCACTGCAATTGCTACCTCCACCAGGGAGGTTACCTTCTCACCCGTGTCTGAGTTTGTTTGTTTGTTTATTTGTCAGCAGGGTTAGCAAAGAGTACTAAACCAATTTGCACGAAACTGGGTGGAGGGGTGAACCAGGGAAGAACGCATTACATTTTTCTGCGGATCTGGTTGAAAGGGGCAGATCCAGGAATTTATACATTTATTTTTTAAAAAGCATTTTCATTCACATTGCAAGATAGGGCTTTTTTAGCCAATTTCTGAGGAAATCATTTATGGATCTTGATGTTAAAATCAGAGTTTGTAGATAATCTGAATCACTAAATGGGTTATTGAATGTAGATTGGTGGGCAAAAGTGGAGCTGGGAATTCTTCCAGAGGTGGGAGTTGAGGACCTCATGGACAGGGGCCTGCACCACGTTGCTTCTAGCTAGTATTAGTGAGTGAGTGAGTGAGCTCCAGATTCCTGCATTAGCTTAGATGGCGTACATGAAGGGCTGGGTGGAGCGTAATGAAGCACGGAGATGGAGGGGAGGGAGGAGTAGAGTGGTTTGATTATTTGTGGCACACTGACTGTAGTTATAAGCCTCCACACAGGGCCAAATCCTACTGGAAATAAGGTGGAAGTGGTTGAGAAAGAACACCTCCGTTATGAAATATGTGGGCTCCCATGTCAGTGCTAATTCTTCCCTCCTCTCTTTGCGTTGTGCCACCGAGACATTTTGGTTTCCAAACATACGTAGTTGGGTGTCCAATCAGACTCTGACATACAAACCTGAGATTTTTGTTCCAAATGGTAAGTTGTTTTTTTTTTTTTTTTGTTCTAGCATGCTTCTGCTGTTGCCAGGCAACAGTCATCATTCTCATTTTACTGGGGTGTGAAATATATTGGTAGGGGAGATGAGCTGCTTCCTGCAGTATGTCACTGCTTTGTGTTTGTTTGTTTGTGCCTGGTCCAGTGGACGGCACTAAACAGCCACTTTCAGTGGCCTCATGAACTTTTCATTTTTTAGGAAGGTATTTGAATGCTCATACATCCAGTAAGAACAAACACAACAAGCCTCCCACACACACACACACACACACACACACACACACACACACACACACACACACACACACACACACACACACACACACACACACACACACACATGCCCAGATGCTAGCAGCAATGTGTTCACCACTTCTGGAGAGATTTAAATGGCTTGGGTCTGTGGAGGTGTGAATTTGTGGAGGTGTGTAGGAGGCTCATTTGTGCTCCAGGCTTTTTCAGCAATCAGCCCTCACGTCTGCAGGTTCAGGCACGATGCTATTGATTCTGTGTAGTGGGAAAATCGCTGTTGAGCCATCGTGAGGAATCTCTACCGTTATCCGTCTCTGCCGACCTGTTACTCAGGCTGTTGGTCCTGTTTAACTGGAAACTTCATCGGTAGTTTATGTTGGTTAAGGTGGTTTCGGCATTAAACAGATGTCATCATTAACCATGGGAATCTTTACCATCATGTGATTAAATGTGTGAGGATAACCATATGTAGTTGTTTACAGCGAGTACTTGATTTAAACAGTTTTAGATAGTTAAATGATTGTGCTGCGATTTGGGTGAGATTTTGTGAATTCTGTTTTTCTCTTACAAGCGTATGAAAGATTCAGCCACTCAGCAGGGCAGCAGATCTGCAGCTCTGCCCTGCTACATTATTTACAGATTATGTAGCAGAGACCTTGTGTTTCTAAAAACTGAGCGGTCTAGAAAAATATTAATCCACAGTTTCATTACAGAAATTACACTTTCTTCTAATCAGTATCATTCACAAGTTTTTTTTCACAAATTTGAAGCTTATTTGTAAGCATATCAAACGTTTAACATAAGGGAGAAATAAGCTGAGAGGTGGTAGAGTCGGACACATTTGCATGGCTGAGTTTTGCATCTGGTCTCTGAGCAGCTGCTGCTGTTGTGAGTCATGACCCTGTGATCCTGTGTCACTCATTACTGCACAGTTTGGGTCAGGTCGAGATTCACCAGCAAACAAAAATCTCACAGCTAAGTCAGATCAGATCTCAGATCAGATCTGAGCCAGAGTGGCTGTAAAACTAACCAAGTTTCAGCTGATGACAGACAAATAATAGGTTTTCATGTTCAAATAGAGTAATACCTTTAATTATTATCTTTAATTCACTAATTACTGCTTTAGCCGTAACAGTGGATTAAGGTGATGCATTTCCTAGACACACCTTTCTGTGTCTTCTCTGTTCAGTGTGTGGTAGAGCAGCAGTTTGTTACTAGGTTTTGACCTGGTCTTGTTGTTTCCTAGGTCTTTATCTCAGTGAACTGTCTGAGCACAGACTTCTCCTCGCAGAAGGGTGTGAAGGGGATGCCTCTGATAATCCAGATTGACACCTACAGCTACAACAGTTGCAACAGCAGACCCATCCACAGGGCCTATTCTCAGATCAAGGTCTTCTGCGACAAGGTGAGGAAGGATGCCAGCACAGTCAGCTGTCTGGTCTGGTTAAAGATAAGCAAGTAATTCAGACTTTGCTTTAACTTTCTTTAAGTATATCCTGTACTTTCTGTCCCATCAACCCTCTTGTGTTTTTTGCAGGGTGCTGAGAGGAAGCTTCGTGATGAGGAGAAGAAACATCTCAGAAAGAGGATGAAAGGTAAAAATGTGTTTTTCTCTCTTCTTCATTTTGGCTAAATAATGAAAATGGTGATATTTATTTTGATTATGTACATAAATAATGTTAGTGAGCTTGATATGACATGAGGTTACAAAACACTTTCCAGGAAATCATGAGATTGAGTGGAGCAGAGAGGACAGCAGAAGTCTAAAAAGCCAGAAAAATATAATCAAAGCATATCATATCTGTACTTGAAGTGGTTGCCTGGCAACAGATGCTAGTTCACACTTTCTCTGGATTAGGGAAAAATGGCAGCTTGGGGCAAACCTCTCCCATTAAGAGGGCTCAAAGCACACTGTTCAAAACCATGATAGACCTGGACTCCCAGCCTGTCCTCTTCATTCCTGACGTCCACTTTGGAAACCTGCAGAGAGCAGGGCAGGTGAGGGATGCCTCTCTGTCTCTGACACACACACACACACACACACACACACACACACACACACACACATACATACACATACACACTTAGACACACACAGGAAGTCCTGGTCCAGTCTCGCAGCATGACTAATGATGGGTTTTTACTCTATTTACAGGTGTTTGCTTTTAACACTGAGGAGGTTGACAGAGAGGGGTGAGTATCACACTATTATTTTCACACCACTGGTTTGCTCTAAATGCTCATGTCTTGTACATCACTACACCGTGTGAACCTGAGCAACAACTGGAAGTGGTGCATATTTCATGATCTTTCCATTGGTGAAATAGTGTCTGTGTGTGTGTCATGGTAAAACAGATTGTGAAATGTGATGGTGATGATACATTTTCTCCATTTCACATCTGAGGAACAAACACTAAAGCAGGAATTCAGATCATTTAAAGCAAAATTATGCAAAACAACAGGACACTGACTTGTAATATGGAGAATGGCGCTTCTTTCATTCCCACGCCACACCCCAAACACATGTTCTTGCACTATGAAACCTGGGTTGAGCGGATACGATCTCCTGCGAGAGGTGTGTAACAGCACTGTGTCACACACCACCAGCTATGGATGTTCAGGTAGCTATAAGAAGAAGCTCAGTATTCTCAGTACAGACGTCATAGCAGAAGTGAAGAGACCAGCTCCACCCATCTACATTTTAGCACACTGCTGTTTTATGTCAATCACATTAGCTGAATGCTAAACTGAACTTGACATGAGTGGACATGGTAATTGCTGGTTTACGTGATGATGAAGTGTTTGTTTCCTGAGCGATTGACAGGCTTTGTTGTTCTGTACATGAGCTGTGTCCTTAACCACTCGGACTCAGAGCCCAACAGAAATAGATATTGTTGAAAATAAAAACCAAAACAAAACAAGATTGAAATGTGGAAATAATATTACATGAAAGGAATATACAAGTAGTATATACAAGGAGTGAAACAACATTTGTGTGTATTGTATTTTGTGACGATGATGATATTGTTGTTGCTTGCTCTTGAAGATGATTCTTAACTGGATAGATGTGAGAGGAAATTTTAATTTGTTGATTTGGAGCTCAGCCAATCATCCATTAGTATTGGATATCGTCACAAACATAAAACAGGTTCTCTACTGTTTCTACATGTATGTGGGACTGCTACAATCTGTAATGGGGCATCACTTTAAATGTTGGAGCGACAAAGAATTGTGGGACGCCATTTTCTCCTTTCCTTTCATAAAGGAAGGTCCAGTGTATCCTATGCTTAAGGAGATAAGATAGGAAGCATTAAAGCTCTTTTCATCATCATTTGGAGAATTCGACCGGCTCTTATCATGCCTGCCGCTTAATTACTTCTGGGTCATTTCACTCAGTTAGGAACCTTCTCAAGTGAAAAAGACTTTTCGACTGCAGCCATAGTCTCGCTATAAATGCTGTGTGTATGTTTATGGGTGTCAGGAGTGTTCTGGTGAAGAGGATGTCATGTGCCGCTGAGGAAGATACCTGTCCACCTCAGTCCAAGAAGGTCAAAGTAGACGAGGAAAGGAGAGGTTTGTAAATGTCATGTTTCATGTTCTTTTCCGTTGTATTTGTGTAAAATATTGAGCGGCACTGCATGTCTGTGTCAGGTTCTTCTCCTTGTAAAGCACTTTATAGAACTGGTTGATTGATGTTTTTTGTCTTGTTTATTCCACGCTTCATTAGTTCTTCTATATGTGAGGAAGGAGTGTGATGAAGTGTTTGACGCCTTAATGCTGCACACCCCAACCCTCAAAGCACTGATGGAGGCAGTGAGTATTGAAAGTCGGATTGTAATTTGGTTTTAACTATAATATGCTGAAATAGGAAACACATTGGATCCATTGTGCTAAACAGGATTAGTTTATTTTAGAAAACGAATCTTTTACTAAATAGTAACATTAGCTGTGACCTCAGGCTGCTTCAACATGTTTAAAATACACGGTTTCTTCACAGATCTCAGAGAAATATGCGTTGCCTGTTGACAAGGTGGCCAAGGTTTACCAAAAAAGCAAAAAAGGGTGAGTCAAGCTCCATAGAAACAACAGTAACAGTCAGTAGTCATGCTCGCTATGCTAACATGCTAACAGTAACAATACTAACATGCTGATGTTTATCAGATAATCTTTACCATGTTCTGTATCTTAGTGTGTTATCATGCTAACATTAGGTAATTAGCATAAAAAACAAATTGCAGCAGATGTCATTACTTTTGGTCATAAACCAAAGTAATAAAACATTTTTTAAATTTGTCCTGATGACAGCGTTTGACACGTTACTGGTTAGAAACGTTTCATTTGCAAACAGCCAACTCAGTGTTTGGGTACCATCCATATTTACAAAATCAATGTGTTTTCCTTATTTAACAAAGTTGGTCGTTCACAGCAAAAAGGACAATACATATTACAATTCATCCAGTTTACCAAACTTCATGGCAATTGTGTTATTGTGTGCATTGTTGTTAAGACATTTCAATTAAAACCACCAATGTCAATCTAATGGCATCGCTAGAAAATAATCAGGGGATCACCAAAATATTTAGGGTACATCGTTTGGGAACCATTAATGTGCTAAACTTGGTGCCAGTCCATCTAGTAGATGTTTAGATGTTTAAATGGACAAATAAAATCGTAGCATAGGATATTTCAGTGTGCACCAACTGACAAGAACTGACAGACTGAAATCACCATGCCTGGGTCTACACCGTTAGCATGGCTAAAACATTAATTAGTATGGCTAAAATAATCAGATTAACTCGTCACTGTATATTGTCTTCCTCAGGGTCCTGGTGAACATGGATGACAACATCATCCAGCATTTTTCCAATGAGGACACCTTCATCCTGGCCATCGAGAGGTCAGCAGAAACCTTGCGTGTGATTCTGTCAGAGATCTGACGGTTGTTAGCCACAGCACTGTATTCATAGTTATCATATTGTCAGACAGAGGTGATCAGTGGTGGGTGAAGCTTTAGCCACGCCACATGTAAAAATTGTGAGTATTGTAAGCAGTATTAGACGACAGCACCGTCTTTATTGACGTCCACATAGGATTCTCAGTAGGGTTTGTTGCCCTGAATGGATCATTGGCCAAAATCCACATCCACCGCACCTGCTGTAGTACCTGTTAACAGACAACCTGCTGGAGGATTTCTTGCACTAGGAACTCATTGTGGATTTGTTGTTAGGTGGGAAAAATCTTTTGAACTACCTTTGCAAGTATTCACTAGCTCATGAGAATTGACTGAGATGAGATCACCACAAAGCATCCATCCAGCAGCATGCTGTGGTTTCACAGGAAGTAGACAGAACAGTACACAGTGGCCTTATTGGATTAACAGCAGGGACTGCTATTTGGTTCCTCTGTGGCCTCAACGACTTGATCAGATGCTTCAGAGCAAGTTTATCTTTTGCTGCCACTCAGCAGTTCAAGGTAATATTGTTCAAGGCCTATTGTTCTGTATGTATATAATTATTTCTAGACGTGTCCTGAAAGTAGTTCTGGTCTCTTGATTTAGTCAAAGTGAACTTTGTCTAATTTTTATTTGTTGTCCATCTTTTTTATTGATTGGTCATATTTTTACTCCAATTGGTGCCAGTGAAATAACGGTTGTGATTACATGCTGATGTCTCAGGATCTATAATTAGACAAGGCACCATTATGGAAGAAGACTGCAAGTCTCCAGGATGCTGTTAAACTGTTTAGCTTCCTTTGCGCGAATGTTTATTGCTTTATCTCTCTCTGATGAGACTGTAGTCAGTCGTATTTATGACAGTTAGGGACTTACAAAGCCCAAATGGTCCATTTACACAATCCTTGTCTGAGGCTACTGCAAACCATCAGAGCTTAACGGTCTAACTGCTCTGTTCCTGCTCACTGCCTGTGTTTACACCTGAGTCACTGACAACGTCTCCATCATTCATACGCTTCATGCACTGTGATGTACAGTCTTTTAAATCATTCAATAAATATAGTTTTATATGCAGTCACTTGTCTCTTTATTTTACCTCTAACATCAGTTTGTTTGCAGTTTTAATCAACAGTTTCTGCTGCATCAAAGGTCAGATTTGTTGAGTTAAGGCACCCTCCATGACAGATTTATAAGTTGTAATTAATGGTTTAATTAGTGGCAGAGTATTTACTTATGCTTATAAACAATTAAAAACACATGCAGTACTAATGCAGTTTTAAATGTTGGTATCCATTTCTAAATGCTGACTGATGTGTTAATGAATGGATCTAAGTGGACATATATTCCAGAGAGTTTTGTTTTGCATCCTGGCAATCCAAATGTTAGTAATGGCTTATACCTAGGCAGGAATATATAAAGCTGCTCAGTAATAGTTTGGTCTTAAGAATGATGCAATTCTGGGCTTTTTCTTCAAATTTAGAAGCTCCATCCATAACTCTCGTAAATGCCAAGACTGCCATTTAGAAATGGTTTGCGTCAACGGCAGCCAGCTGTAACCAGCAGACTACACACAAAATGTATGTGTGGAAATGTATAAGTTGATACATGCACTCCTAGTTTATGACATGATGGATATAGCAAGTACAGTCATGTTAACTTTTGCAGGATTCTTCCTGATGTTCACATTAACTTCCCGGAGCCTGTTCTGCTGGAAATAGCAGCTTATTAGGAATAAGTGACACTGTGCTGAGTCACATGGTTGAGGTTGACAGATCATAGTTGCTGGCTGAACTGTCTATTGGCATGTATCTCTGTGATCTCTATCAATTTTCAGTTTCAAACATGCGGTTTCACTCTGTTCCTTTCTGTAATGACGGATCAAAGCGGGACAGGTCACAGTGATCTCATTTTATTGAGCTGAACTGGCAAAAGTCTTCATTTTACAGCTGTGAAAAACTGCTCTGAAAATTACAGGACTAGTTTGGATGGTCTGGGTCTGTCAAAGCTTTCACAGTGTTTGGAGAAGGCAGTGTTGACCAATCCATAACTCAACAACTACTGGAATGATTATTCTGAAATTTTGTATAGACACTGATGGTTCCCAGAGGACGAATCCTGCTGACTTTGGTGATCCCCTGACTTAACCACTAGCGCCACAATAAGGTTGACATTTTTGGTTCATAGTGAAATGTCTCAAACTATTGGGATGGATTGCCTCTAAAGTTGGAACAGAAATTCCAGATCCCCACTTTTCATGTAGTGCTGTTATCAGCTCAAAATCTATTATTCCAATACGTTTGATTATGATCAAATACCTAGTATTATGACATTAGTTTTTAGCTCAAAGCTGCACTGTGCCCAAGTACAGCCTCATCTGCTAGTATTGCTGCACACTCGTTTTCTGTCACCATGGACATCACCTACAGTGAAAAGTTAAGTGAAAGGCAGTGAAATCAGGCTGCACATACTGTGTCTTCTTACTGTATATACTTACAGCCCTTCTATTTAGATACAATACGCTCAACAACACAAGGCAGTTCAACAGGATAGTTAATAAGTAAATCACTTCTAACTACTTTCATTTGTGAGCATTTTGGTATCATGGATCACATTAGCATTAGAAAAACTGTAATGTACCTTTACAATTAACATTTAGGTTTAAATATAACATTTAGATAATGTTTAGATTTAACATAAGCATTATATTATTTTTTTTTTTAAAGAAAAGTAAATATATTAAATAATAATTTTTGGAACTAAATGGAGCTAAATGTGAAATTTTGCTCTTAATTGTATTAATTATTAATTGTATTATGCACCACTTCACAATTGGTGCCCCATATAACCTGACCAGTGGTGGAAAGTAACTAAGTATTTTGGAATTCTTTTTTCCCTTATTTTACATAAACACAAACCTTTTGATACTTGTTTTTTTTGTTTAAATTATGTTTTCGGGCTTTTTATGCCTTTATTATAGCAGCAGTGAGAGAGAGACAGGAAAGTAGGGGAGAGAGAGGGGATGACATGCAGCAAAGGGCCGCAGGTCAGATTGTAACCCGGGCCGCGGCGCCAAGGAGTCAGCCCTAATGGTACACGCTCTACCAGCTGAGCCACTGTGGTGCCCCGATACTTGTTTTTATAAAATAGTTTTGCATATTATACATGTATGTGTGAACTGGGACATTTTACAATTAAAAATTAAACTTGTCTCTGGTGGACAAACTATGCAATGACAACACTGTTTCTATGAAAAATTATCCTCAGTAGTTGTGTGTTGAATATTTTTGTTACTTATGGGCGAACAAATACATCGATACAATATATCTGCAATAAGGTAATATAAGTCAAACTTTATCCATCAGACTCTAATTAAAACCACAATAATACACACAAAATTACACAATTAACCAGACACCACATAAATGCTTGCACACAATAAATTGTAAATTTAATTCTTGCCTTTTAAAGTTGACCAAAAAAAACAGAATCCTGTGTTCCAAAACTGCAGTTCACTAAATACAGAATACCATACAAAACCTACAAAATGCAACAATTACAAACATTTTGTTCAACAGATAATAACAATTGTACAGTATAAATTTATAGAATACTGTTTTTGTTTTTATTTGGCACAAGATGCTATTTTGTGTTTTAACAGAAATGTTATACCTGACACAGCTTTAAAAAAAAGAAAAAAAAAAGAAGAAAAGAAAATCATAAAAATACAATAAAAGCAACACATTGTGACAGTATCATTGCAGTAGTTGTGATTCTCCATTTGTTTGTTTGTCTGCATCTTTTTTTTTTTCTTATTTTCCTACAAAAAACAGCAGTTACTTAATAAAACATTCAAAGCTTTTCTGATTGGGAAACAAAGCAGTAACTGAAACGGCTTGGCTCCGCCCCGGAGGAGGGCTCGGGTACGTTCCCTGCTCCTGGCCGAGCTTCCTCTAAACATCCTAAACAAGAGGGACTGCTTCCTTTTTCTTTTCAGGAATTTTCTGTTGCAGCTGAGCAAAGAAAAAAAAGGAGGGAGAGGAGATGAGACCAAAAAATGTTAATTGATTTATTGGGAGTGTTTGTATTTGTGGGACACCATCACTTATGTTGTGTCACCCAACGTCATGTCAGTCATTTTATGTTATCCTATAAATTATTTAAATACCATCTAGTTGAAAGTATACTCAGTTTTGGGACTGCGTACGTTTGGCCCTGTTACTGGTGCAGCTGGGAGGTGATTTCACTATTGAGATCAACAGAAACAGAAGATGTCTCTCAGCATCCCCTATTAAACAGTGTGTGTCTTTATGTGTACAGCTTGTTGTGCATGGTGGTCTTCCTACAGCCCCTCTTTGTTTCCCTCCGTGAAGTTATTCATACGAACCGTCAGATGGGTCAGCTTTGGCCGTCCATGCTGTCAATAACACTGACCACTGGTAGCACTAATGATGACAATACTAACATAGAGAAGTGAGCACAGAGCTGCAGGGGCCACTGGCCACTGATGTTCATAAACAAACATTAAAAACACACACATGCGCATAAGTCACATGCATATGTGTTACTTAGTCTATGCACCACTGTACCCAACTGTTCAACGACTGATTCAACATGCAGCATTTAAAGACATCTGAAAGTGAATGTGAAGAAGTGTCTTTGTTCCTCACAGAGTACATGTCAAAAAGAAACGGGTTTGCATGCTTGACATCCTGCAACAGCTTAAATACACAAACATTTTCATTATTATTTCACAACATTTGTTATGAACCGAGCATTCTGGGCTATGTGAATTTGCTTAAAAATGTAGTTGCACTTTAAAATATCTACACTACTCAAATACTTTAAAGACTAGTTTTCTATTTTAACCGTAAGATAGAGCGCAGTGACGCTGCGGCTCTAAAATCCTCCGTCAGGTTCTTACTGATATGAGAAACCACTGGAACAGATGATGGATAAAGGGATGCATTTCATCCTTCATTACGTCAGTGACACTTCACAAAATCAAACTATTGATTAGGGTGCATATGCATAGTAGCATAATATTACATGTTGTTGTTGTCCCAGCACAAAATATGAAACAAAGTCTATCAAGTTTGCAAAATACACAAACATGCGTACACATTCTCACAGTAGAAAAGAGGAAACTAAAAGCAGTACGTATTCTGAGTGAAGGACAAACTTCACAAGTCCTCTCCGTAGATTTAATTCTCTCACCTACAGTATGTCCTGTTATTCAACACCATCATCTCTCCCCTGTCGTCTCATGCACACACTCTGTCTATGATACACATTAGAGTGATAGAGGCTCTGTGTCGCCCTGGCTGGAGCCTCAGAGGGCACAGAGAGCCAAGCAAAGACACCGATACAGAGAATCCAGTTTATACTGTATATATACAACCTACTGTAGACCTTCTTTATACTCTGACATGTCTATGGGAGAACTGAGGGGTCCTGGTCAATTACAATCATTGGGGTTAGATAACCTGATGAGGTTCAGTCTATGTTGGGGTTTGGAGAGTTTTGATAAACGGCTCAAGGTGGAAAACTGGAGAACGTGGCTCCTTTGCCCGTCTTTGAAGTCCTCAGTGCAAATTGAAGGCCTGTCTTCTTCATCGTCATCATCAGCTTGTCATCCTTCATCATCAGTCTGCTCCATAGTGGAGAGTCAAGGGCATTTAGAGTCACCCAAAGAAGCTCTGTGAGGAGACAAGTGACGATGAGCAGTCGGATTAGCACTGAGGCGCACACACACACGCACGCACGCACACACATGCACGCACGCACACACACACACATACACACACACACACACACACACATACACACACACACACACACACACATACACACACACACACACACACACACATACACACACTGAGGCAGGTGTTGTAATGTTTATCATTAGTCATCATCACATGTTGCATTTCATGGTTTGCAAAAAAAAACATGGCACCAACAAGTACCTTACCTGAGTTACTCCACTAACACAAATTGCATGAATGGTTTTCAATTTAAAGGAATAGTTTAACATTTTCATAATATTCTTATTGGCGTGATGCAGAATGTTACATGTGAACACGGATACCACCTTCATGTCTGTACAGTAAATATGACACTACAGTCAGCAGGCAGTTACCTTAGGCACAGCTGCTCCACCAACTCTTATGTTCACTAATTAGCCCCTCATACCTATTAAAAAAAAAACAAAGTGACCTCCTGGAGTGTAATTGGCACATCTCCTAAAATGTCAGAATATTCCTTTAAATAATGTAATAATCAATGTTCATCAACTTCTGATTCCTCTAAATGTCTCTTCTGTCGTCCCACTCAGTCTTAAGTCCAGTGTGTTCAGGAGAATTAGTGTTGGACACTGAAGTCAGAAGATAGATCAACAAAGACAGCTATCTTTGCTGAATGCACTTACTGTACATCACTTTGCACAAAATCATCTACCAAAAGAACGCACATTTTTTTTAATTTCAATTTTTTACAGTTTATCATTACAAGACCTTCCTATCCACCCTCATAACTGTATCATATCCATTGTTTGAGAGAAAGTGCTGTATTTGAAACAAGAAAAAGTCCAAGCAAACTTTATGAAGGCCGATGAGACTGACTGTAGACTCCCCATACAGAGAGAGGGATGCTGTCACTGTTTCATCTAAGAGACAGGCATCAGCCAGGCTGCTGTTGTTGCTGACTTCTTCTCTGCTTTTATTCCCAAACATCATCACTGCCAGAATTCCAGCACCAAGAAACTTTGTGACTATCAGCTCAGATGTGAAGTTGTAGCCCGAGTTCACAAAGTGGTGAGACAACTCCTGCCTAGAGCTCATTGTCACAAAACTAAAGAAATGTTTGTGGACTTCCCTCAACAGTAAACATCCTAACAGTGTCATAAACACACATGGGGAGGCAACACAAGTTCTTGGGTTTTTATCTTCAGTAAAGATCTTAAATTCTGAGAGAATACTGAGGCTTTTTACAAGACGTGCCCAAAAACACAGCACTTCAAACATCCAACACTAAAGGCTTTAAAAAGAAGAAACTTCTTAAGAGCATCAACAGCTTCAGTGCGTGTTTCAAAAAACCAGGCCACCTCCTACAAAGTCTCTCATATCAGTCCATGAACTACAAATAGTCACAAAGCCAGTGACACTGTGCATGACCCATCCCACGTTCAGCACGGTGCACGCAGCCTCTGCAGAGCTCCCCTGCAGCAAGCACCTCCATTCCTGAGGCTGAACCTCAGCTTTACAACCAGAGCACATTCAGTACCTCTCACCTCTCTGATCCTGCTGCACTTTGCTGGTTTTTAAAAATGTGATTAAATGTTTTAGGCAACAGATACTTTCACTGTGAGTTGTATTGCAAGTGAAGTAAATGTGAGACTTACAGGTTATATTGATGCCTCGGGTTTAGAACTGTCCAGCACTGCTGGGGTCGCACTGCAACAGGCGGACGATGGAGGGGTCGCTCTTAGCTCCTTTGATGAACTCCTCCAGAGACAGCTTGCCTAAAACACACACAAGACCAGCCTGGAATTAGGAGAGAAATTATCTTTTGGTAATTTATATGTATCTGCATTTAAAACTGATGGAAAGTAAAGAGGCTAAAGCCAAAGTCAGACTAAAGTTAGATTTTGTCAGAATACCATCTAATCTTAATTAATTTAATTTACTGGCAGCTGAATCATCCACAGATGGTCTCCTCCTATCCAAAGCAAACAGACCTGGTGATTAAAACCTGTAGAAACACTAAATAAACCTGTTTTGTGTTAAAAATCAGTGTTTCTTCGCTGCTGTTTGGTGAAAACAGGACGTGTCGGAGGGGCTGTGAGCCCAGTTGCCGCTAACATCTGCTCAGCTTATTTCTCTAATAAGTTATGATCTAGACGTCTGACAACTAAAGTCTTTCATCTGGTTAAAATACACTGCTCAAAAAAATGAAGGGAAGCCTTAAATCCCAAGTAATCACATTGTATCTTGACGAACAAATAATTCAAGTTGAAAATTTTTACTGATGTACATTGTATAATTTGTTGAGAATAAAATGACGTAATAACGGTCAATGGAAACCAAAATCATCAACCCACTGAGAGCTGGACTCACAATCGCACTGAAAATCAAAGTAAAAAACTGAAATCACAGGCTGATCCAACATGAATTTCATCACGGCAACTCATAATGTGACTCAGTAGTGTGTATGGCTCCCGTCTCCCTGGATGCACTCCCAAAAATGTCTGGGCATGCTCTTGATGAGTCGGCGGATGGTGTCCTGGGGGATCTCCTCCCAGACCTGGATCAGGGCATCAGTGAGCTCAGTACTTGGCGTTACAACGGCGTCTCCGGACTCTTTCACGTCTGTCACATGATCTCAGTGTGAACCTGCTCTCATCTGTGAAGAGAACAGGACGCCAATGGCCGACCTGCCAATTCTGATGTTCTCTGGCGAATGCCAATCGAGCTGCACGTTGCTGGGCTGTGAGCACAGGTCCCACTAGAGGACGTGGGGCCCTGATGCCACCCTCATGGAGTCTGTTTCTGACAGTTTGGTCAGAAACATGTACGCCAGTAGCCTGCTGGATGATGTTGTATGGCTCGGAAAGTGCTCCTCCTGTTCCTCCTCGCACAAAGGAGCAGGCAGCGGTCCTGCTGCTGGGTTGATGTCCTTCTACGGCCCTGTCCAGCTCTCCTCGTGTAACGCTGATCTCCTGGTGTCTCCTCCATGCTTTTGACACTGTGCTCGGAGACACAGCAAACCTTCTTGTGACCGCACGTATGGATGTGCCATCCTGGAGGAGATGGCCTACCTGTGCAACCTGACTGAGCTGCAGGTGCCGCCTCATGCTACCAGTACTGACAAAGACACCAGCAAAACACAAAACTGGAGAAGACTCAGTCAGGAAGGATCAGGAGGCCACCACATGTAAAACCATTCCCTTTTTGGGGGTCGTCTTGCTTTTGCTTCTCCATTGCACCTGTTGTCACTTTCATTTGCACCAAAGCAGGTGAAACAGATTCAATATCACTTGTGCTTCCTAAATGGACAGATTGATGTCCCTGAAGTTTAAGTGACTTGGTGTCATACTGTGATGATTAAGTGTTCCTTTAACAGTGTATACAGCTAAAAATGACCAAGATTTAAAAATGTATCATAAATTATGGTTTAAAACAAACAATCACCACTGATGTATGTGCATAGGGGGTATGATGCCATTGATAGGCGACCAATTGAAACAGACTGTTCCCCTGATTAAAATGATGGATACATTTGGGTTTGAAAATTGCTGGAAACGATCAGGATAATGTCAGTACATAACTCAACAAAATTTATAACATGGGTCTAGTTGTTTTTAGACATTTCAATGTGGAAAAGTTACATATTAGACCTTTAAAGGATGATAAAAGAGGATAATCTGTGATGACATCCTGTTTTAATAACATGGAGGATTTAACACTGCAGACACATTAGATACGTTTTGTTCTGAAAAGCAAATGTCAGCAAGGACTGACACTGACAGTATTATGGTCCATTAGTTCTTCATTAAATGTGTTCCTGTTGAAGCTCTACTCTAAAAAACTCATTCACCCATTCACTGTGAAAATGTGAAACTTTTTTATTTGCTTTTCAAGCCCGTGAAGTTTTTTTTGGAAGAATTTTACTGGGATGAAAACAAACCTTCACAACCTCAGTCAGTGTGTCCTAATGATGTCCCATTTCTCACCAACAGGTGGCAGTGTCGAGACAGCTCTTCGCTCTCCTGACCACCCCCGTAACAGAGACACTCAAGTTGCCTCTCTCATGCAGTCGGTGTGTTCTCACTACTTGTGAGAAAGACGGCATGTCTCCACGTCCAGGTCAGCACGCTCCCTATCACTGTGTACTGCTGTCTTTGTTCTGCTGTCACCCCCCCAAACCCCCCCCCCCCCTCTCCTCCAACCACTCCTCTGCACTGTGTCTCTCCTTTCTTTTTTAAAAAACCCACAACCCCCCCCAGCCACTAATTCCTAATTGTCCATCTCTCTCTTCCTCCCACCTTGTTTCTGTGTTTCCTGTGCTCAGAATCGCTGGTGCTTTCTGAGTATCTACATCACAATTGTGTGTGACTGAGTGTGTTGTGTATGACTACAATTACAGGTCAGGTGTGAAATCTGTTGGCAGTGAATAGCAGCTTCAGACTGGAGAATGTCTCTGTCACTATTAACCAGGCTGGTGACCAGCTGAGAGGGAAGAACCGTTCAATACATTTGCATTTGAATTGCCTGTTATGTCTCATTTCACTGAAGTCAATCAACCAATCAATCAATTTCTACCAGATTGTTTTAAAGTGCTTTTGGTATCTTGGTAGATAAGCAAAAGAAATATAATGGACTTGTATTTCAAGCCAGGTTACAAGCTACAATCACAAATATCTTATAAGTACAATCTTTTTTTGTCTTACCAGCAGAATCAATGTTGACTTGATGCAGTGGTTTTTTGGTTTTTAAGAGTAGAGGTAGTAGAAGGTCCTCCTGTGGTTATCTTAATACACCATAGCAGTTGATCTTGGCACAAAAATGACCAACATAAACATGCTGTTTTACTGTCACTTTAACCTTTTTCTGTACCATCAATTTATTCTACCACATGTATGCAACATCTATGTGAAATTACCCCACTTTTAAACAAGACAAGTCAAAAACTAGCATATGGCTGGACCGTGTTATAGGCTATTTGCATTCTGCCTTGTGTGAGCCGGTTTCAGCGCTTCATCTGTTTGCTTCTCTCCTCCTCTCTGTGCTCACATATACAGTATTTTAATACAGCTACATTTTAATAAAGCTGTTCTCATTTACATGTTTTTCTGTTTCTGTTGACGGACAATGGAACAAGTTTGAAATAGTGACATGCAGCCCATTAACACTACATGCTAACTTCCAAGCCATCTCCAAGCTGCTGCTCTGCTGCTAATGCTGATTTTATAACCTCAATATCGTCAACATAGGGAGCTGTGTCTGCGGAGGGAAAGCCTGACCGCATGCCCGCAGGGTAATACTGGTGACTCTCATCTACAGAGAGGAGCTAAGGTTTATCCAAACATTTGCTGGGTGTTTTTTTTTGCCTTTACTACAGTCACAACGAGAGAGACGAGAGAGAAGTTGGAGAGAGAGGGAGAGAGGGGATGACATGCAGCAAAGGGCCATGGATTGGACTCGAACTCGGGCGGCTGCGGAAAGGACTAAGCCTAAATGGTACGCGCTCTACCAGGTGAACCACCAGGGAGCCCTGCTGGGTCCTTTATAAAAAAAAAGAAAAAGAAGTGGGTAAAGATGTCTGAACAGTCTGGATATCTAGTGACCGAGCTGTCAACACTGCTCACTGTTCATTTTGAAAGAGGAAACTCCAACATTGGGCTGGCCAACCAATGGTGTGACCTTTTAACTCAGTTACACGGCATCACTCTCTCACTCACTCACTCACTCACTCACTCACTCACTCACTCACTCACTCACTCACTCACTCACTCGCTCGCTCACTCACTCACTCACTCACTCACATCTGCGTTTATAATCAGTAGATGAAGTTAACCTACCGTCCCTGTTGGTGTCCATCTGCCTGAAGATCTTCTCCGTCCTCTTCTCAGGTGTTGACTCATCCTCAGGCATCTTCATCACAGAGGACACCATCTTATAGATTGCCTACATGGGGACATAACGAGGTTATACACTGAAAAGAACTTTATTAGGAACAAAAACTCTAATCTCAAATTTGGATTCACCAGTAAATAGGACTTTTCTCCAACTGTGAAATGCTGGTTTCTCTTACACCACCTCCAGCGTTTGGCCTTATTCCCCCTCCTGAGAAGTGGTTTAGAAACTGCTACTGGTTCTCCGAGACCACTACAATGCAGCCTTCTTTTGGCAGTACTTAGAGTTCTTTATTTAGCAAATTCTGTATCAGTGGTGAAGTTGCTTTTCTTTCTCTCAGGGAACTAAGCTTGATGTATTGATCTTCTGATGTGGTCATTTTTTAGTGCTTTGGATACAACTGATCCAGTTTCTAAAAAGCTTTTTCTCCATGCGCTTCCCCTCTAAGAAACCTTTTTCCATGATGAAAGTTAATATCCAATTCAGTCCCTATATTCACTTATAATATAGCAAAGTCACTGAGAGCAGCCTTGCATGTTGTCTCTGTACTGACTCTGGTACAAAATGTCTTCATGTCAAAAGAAGAACTGACTCTTTAAACTGAGGAAATATAAAAGCAAATCTGTCTGTTATGACTGTAATAACTGTCCATGTGACTAAACAGTCGACTCAGCTTAAAATCTCAAGTTCAGTTAACTTAACTCAGTTAGTCACACCGAAGTCCTTGCCAAACGAATTCACACAATGCTGATTAATCATATGAGCAGCAGGTAAATGTCTCTGTATTCAGCAGTATACCAGAGCTTTAAATCTGATTTCTGTGATGGTAGCGATGCATTTTACATCAACCAAACTCTCTGTTGATGTAAAATGCATCGCTACCATCACAGAAATCAGAAACCAGAGCTGAAGAGGCTGTTCTATTGTCTATATGTACATTGTAAACATATCTGGAGGCTCAGTGAAGCACTGGACAGACAGCTGTTTTACGTCATGTATTATGTGTCCCCCGTGCAACACTGGAGAAAATGCCGACGGTTCCTGTGTAATATACATGGGTAGGAACCTTCAGCATGTTGTACTGTGTTGCACAGGGGACACATAATAAAAATCTGGGAAACAAGATGCAGCTGTCTTGTCGGGTGCTTGTGTTGAGTCACCACATGTGTCTACAATGTACATGTAGACAACAGAACATGGTGTCAGAGGGAGATGGAGCAGCTACAGCAGCTAGGAGTGTGTAGTGTAGCTAACCTATGGTGGAAAAACCTTGGAAACGTTCAAGAAACGTTTGTGATGCTCCAGATAAATAAGAAACTGCGTTCAGAGGAAGGATTACAGTGTGAAAAAGAGAGCGATCGACTCAGACACGGACACTGGCGTGGTTTGTCCTTGTTGGAAAGAAGAGAAGGACTGAGGCAGTCATGGATGTCACCTCACTGCTGCTGGACAGGTTGGTTTCTTAAAATATTTGGAGCAGATTATGTAACTATTACATTTACTCTACCTACTAATGAATGATTAATTAATTATGGTCATGGAACGGTAAAAATGTCTCTGTTTAACTTCATTCATAACTTTAACTTGAGTTCAGTTGACTCACAATTTTAAGGCATCGAGGGAATTTACATTTCTGAGTTGAAGAAACTTGAAATCATTATGGTTTGAGTCATTATTTCATACACATTTACTCCTACTGCTGCAATCTATACAAATGACACACACACACACACACACACACACACACACAATATTTTCTGTACTACTTCTTTCCTGTCCTGAGTTCTTGGGAACTGTTCTGCAGTATTTCTCTTTCCAGCTTGTGCAGTTGCTGCTGTGCTGAGCTGATGATTCATTCAGTTCAGTTAAAGATAAGAGTATAATAACGAAAGAAACCCGGGGAGGCCCACACAAAGGAGTTTGCCACACACGGGATCTTATGTAACATTGCCCTGTGATATTTAATTTACCGATATAAGTAACATTTATTCTGCTTTGTCACAAAGACAAACACAGGTGAGTCAATGCACATTCTCAGTGGTTGTATCCATTCACCACAGACGAGAATTTATTTCACTACGTCAACTTGTAGCGCCACTTCACCGCTCTGCGATTACACTTTCATGGCTGAGGTAGGGGAGGGGCGGAGACAAACATATGCACATACACAATCCCTCACAGACTATTTATCAGTGTTGTGTCTCCTCTGCTCTCTGTTGCATCGCAGGCTGTTTGGCAGTAAACAGTGAAATCACAACCCACTCTCTCTGTCTCTAATAAGGAGGCGGCTTTGAGGGGAATAGGAGCTGACATGTGAACAGAAGAAGTTTGATTGTGATTACAGTGCAGCGGGAGCTTTAAATAGGTGCTGGTTATGCCTCCTATTACACAGCTCAGCTTCTGGGTCGGAGTGGAGAGACTGAGAGACAAGCAGCAGCCACAGTTAATATCAGCCTTTATTTCAGTTTGGAGTTTGGTCTGTTATTAATCGAAATCCTTCAGACTGCAGTGAGAGTTTATTACATTTAGCCAATATTACATAGTGGGGATTTAGCTGCTGGTCTAATCCAGAGCAGTGCACTGGAATAAGATTATAAATCCCAAAATTACAAGCAACCAATAAGAAGAGAAACGATCTGCAGTTTTTAACCCTCTCAGAATTCCCTGAATGAAAACAGTCTGAACAAAAGAGAGAGAAGGATTTGTCTCAACCCATTTCATTCCACAATGACATTCAATAAATTCTTAAAATACATAACAAATAAGGGTTGCTTGAAGTACAAGTCTGGTGATATTTTTTAGACATTTTTCTTATCTTTCTGTTTGTGTGTATCCCAAGTCTCACATGTCTTATTCCTCATCAGTAACCATGCCAATACACTGAGTGACTTTATCACCACAAACATTGCAGTTTATTTGACTCAATCCCACATACACGACGACCTAGTTTCCTATACGGGTTTGAAGTGGCAACCCATTCAGTATTAATCTGTGGCTCAGGCCAGTCCCTATCAAACGCACTGTTTACTCTTGTTTAAGTAAAACTTGATAAAAGGTTGTGCTACACTGTTTTAGGAAATAATTCACCCTTTAAAAAAAGGAAAGAAAAATGTATTTTTAAATCATTGTTAAAGATTTATATAGATTTATGTAGGAATCAGCGTGCCAAGGAAAAGTTATGGAAGTCAGAAAGTATTGGACTAACACAGTCTTGTGATGGGATTTATTGACAGTTAGAAAAATATATAATATCTTTTAGGTCTTTAGATTGCACATCTGAAGCTGCTGAAAAATCAGGCCTGTCTGTCTCCATCTCTCCTCTCACCTTATACTATGGATTCTCTTTATTTCTCACAAATCTAACAATCAAAAGAGCCGTGACATTGTTTTTTCTCTGCCGGTAATCTCTCCTTTATTTGTCCGTAACACAAATATGTATTTTTCAGCAATCTACAGAGCATCAATTCTACAACCCGAACGCCCCAAAGAGAAAAAGGAAGGTGCTTCCATAACCTTTGAGCTGGGAGCTTCCAGACAAGAACAAAACATCATCTCTTGTGGAGCCAGAAACAGCCTGAGCGACAGTTAAGGTCACATAAAGAGAAAAAAAAAAGCAAATAGCTACTAAGCAACAACTCTGGACTGTTACCTCACCACTTATGAATGGGAGTGAGAATGGAAAGCATCATCACATAAATAAATACCCTGGTTATTACCTTCTCTCTACACCTTAACCACATGAGACAACACAGACAGAGACACATGTAGAAAGGCAGAGTTTAAGAACGAGAGAGGGAGGTCTTCCAACTGTTGAGGCACAACACGCACAGAGTCTCGCCTCACCCTCACGCCACAGATGAATACGTTTCCCATGGAGCCTTCATCTCTCTGATCTCTTCATCTACTCCCACTATTCCGTTCAATCTCATTAAATTACCAGTATGAATGCTCTCTCCTTTCTTTGTTTTTTGCCAGTTGAGACTTTTGATTGAAAGAATGAACTTCCCTCTGTGCTCGTCTGCTCTGCTGTTAACTCAGTGTTTCAGATGAAAGACAGACAGAGGTTAGATATCAAATATTGATGAGTGGATGAGACAGTTATATCTTTCTCCCTGTGTTCAGATTTTGTCATTATCTGACTAGGAAGAGCCAGGCTGACCGAGATCCATCTCATTCAAGTACTCCCACTGCAAGGGTAATTATGAGCATCACCAGATTTTACACACTCTCTGCGGGAGAGCATTAGCTGGCTCCCAGTTACTACAGTAAATGGAGGTGAATGTGAATAGAGAACATGGAGACCACTGTGGGAGGAAAGGGCTCTTTAGGTAAAGCACCGGAAAGTGCTGGCCACAATAATACTGGTGTGATGAACAATATCCCTTACGGAGAGAATACACTCTAAAAACTGGGCTCCCTGCTGCCAAGTGAGGATTAAGAGTTATTTCTGTAATGAGCAACAACACAGGCTGGACATACAAGATTATGAACAAGACTAAGTCTGTGTTCCGAACCGCCTACTAACGTAGTGTTCATACTGAGTGTGACGTCAAGATGAGTACATAGTGTACGTCAATTTTGTGTACGCGAGAAATACCCAGACGTATACTAGATTAGCAAGAATTTCTCAGTATGCGCCGTGAGCATACTGGACACACTCAACTGTCCCATGATGCATTACGGCACTTCTAACTATAATGGCGGGCTATGAGGCGGAGGATCGGTAAGAGGCATGATGGCAAAGCACTGCTCTGGACCCAGGACGTTACGGCACAGTAAACTGGCAGGGTGCTCCAATCTCTGAAATCGTCGCAGCAGATTTACAAATAGACGTAACTCACATAAACGGACCAATAATAGTGAGTCTATACAGTTACATTCTCACCTGAAAAAATGTTCAAATTTTAAAAAGTGAGCTGTTAACAGTGTTATTAGTGAATATTACAACAGCTTTCAGCCTTCTTTAAAATCCCCGCCAGTCGCTGCTGCCGGTTCATGCAAAATGCATTCTGGGATACTGGCTGTATACTTCAGTACTTATATACTGCATACTAATTTGTTCTTTTAGTAGGTAGCATGCAGTATATACTCAGTGAGTACGTAGCAGGCAGTATGTCAGTAGAGTCTACAGCCATGCTAGCAGCTCTGTGGGTTTGTACTGAAACTGGGACCTGTAGCTGTAGAAGGTGACCACACGTGTATTTTGTCACAGCACACAGAGCTCGTCAGTCTACCGCGCACTAAACACAAAGTACAGCTGAGGCTGATGGAACATTAGTTTTGCAGGTGTTTGCTCATAAACTAAAGTACTGAACAAATTAAAATTCTGACCTGAATATTATGGGATTAATTTAGTCTGAGATTAACAAATGTTGGCTGTTGTCAATAGTTCTTTGTTTTCTAAACAAAGGAGGATCAAAAAAAGATTTCAAGATTTTTCAGCATGGTCAAAGATTTTTACCAAAATGACCTGAAAACATTTTGTGTTGATAGTGTTTCCAGGTTTAGCTGGCTAGCATGGATGTAGCTAACAAACCTGCTAACAAGCTTGCTAGCATTTGCTCTCAATAAATGCCAGTATCATAAATTGTCCTTGGCATTGATTTTGGTGGTGACTTCCCTGCCTCTTGAAAATATGATATGACGGTAAGAACCAAAGTGGTGAACAGACTGAAAGGCTAAACGCAATCACACTGAGCTAAAACTTGCATAAAAAGATGTGGAAGGTTATGATTCAAAAGATTCTTCCTTTCACTTCCTTCAATCTAAACTGAACCAGCGCCACATCAATATCAACCCTGAAGCTCATGGTTATTATCTTGAGAGATGAGAAGATCGGGGGAAGGATGTCTGGCCCATCACAACCCAGACCTGTACAAGTGGCAGGAAACGGTTGGATTTTGCTTTATGAGAACCACATGACAATCTGTCCCCTGATATCACTGAAAGCAGATACTGTGATCACGCTAAGCTGCAGACTTTGTTCAAAGACTGTGAGCTCTTGTGCAGTTACTTGCACAAATCTGCGATACTTGAAAACTTTTCTCTTACGCCTGCTTTCTCTCTGTGGAGGTGGGTGGCTTTGAACCGACAGAGTCAGCCAGCCAAACGCAGAGAGGGAAGGGACAGACATGAGGATAAATGAATACTGTGTGCGTATGTGTGTATGAATAAATGCTTCTGTGTGTTTCAGATAAAAAGAAAGAACCTGAGATGGCCCTGGGCTTTTTTCTAAAACTGCACTTAACAATGAGGAACGGCACCATCTAATCTAATGAGTAACACACATAGCTCTCGCGTCTACATTACCAAAGCTACAATTAAATTTAAGTTAGAAATATAAGACTGTTTTTTGTATGCATGCTGCAAATGGATCATTTCTGAATCCTTAACAAGCTGCAGTTAATTAACAACTGCCACATACATATACACATTTAACACATATATATATATTCATGCCCTCCTTCAGGCAGAACTATTTCTGAACCACTTTTTCTTGTCCTTTTTCATCTCAGCTGATGAGCTCTGCAGACAGTCAGACATGAGGCTCTAAGTCATTGCTTTCTTTTCAGTTGTCCTTGGGAACAGCACCACCTTTTAATGAAAAGTAGTCGGAGTTTTCAGGATGTAGAAAGGATTGACAGGCTGAAGTCTGAATCACTGCGGTCTTGATGTATTCTTAAAGCAACAATATGTGTGATAAATGTGAGGCATTATAAATTGATATTTTGTGGGATTGGCAGTGACTAACTTGGAAATGACTCACAGAAGTTGGCTTTATTAGCTTAATTCTACAGCTACTGTACCCGTACCGTCAGTGACTCAGAGTTTGCTTATAAAACACAAACCAAGCCTCTGTGATGTTGTGATGGGAACGACACCAATGATATTCAACAAGGAAGAGCGCTTAATCAAAGTATAAAGCAGCTTTAACATAATATTTTTGAATAAGAATGGTAGAAATGGCTGACACAGAGAATTATCCTCTAAATCAGCAGTTCATCTGAGCTCTACAGAGCATTTAAGCATCTTTCAGGGGATTGTTTTAGTTTTATAGGCCACACCATTTGGTTCAGTGCTCTCATCAGCATCGTGTCCCAACACAGCAGGCTGCTGTTTGATAAGCCCACTGCACATTACCAGGCCAGCAGCAAAGACACAGTGCCTAGCTTTACTACCACTAGCCGAAGACACCAAAGACAGAACTAAAAAGGGAGTGAATATTGGACTAACATTCACTAAGTTAACACAAACCTGACTTCTAATGAATGCTAATGTTGCTCACATCTGCTGGAAGTGTAAAAAATCAACTGTTTGCTAACATTGTCAACTTTATAAGGCGAAGGCAAAGTGGTGTTTACAGTTAGTTTTCACTGCCCCCAAGTAGCCAAGAAATCTATGACTGCAGGTTTAAGACTCAGGTTTAGCCTGTATCAGTGAGAAGAGGAGATGTGTCCCCCCACTTACATCGGCAGTAAAGTCTGAGCATCATTGTGTTATTACGCTGTTGTTAGCTATTTTAAATAATTCAAATGGAAACACTGTGATAAGAGGATCCAAAATGATTCTGCATTAATGTTCTGTGTAGAGTTCAGCTTTGGTGACTGACCAATAGCATGCTGTCTTGACAGTTTTGACCTGTGAGGAGAGCTGGAGAGCGTAAAAAGTGTTCCACAGAAGAGCTGTGGTTTGCAGACGGTTGTGAGACAGGAGTCGATGGTACAAATACATCTTTTGAAAAAAAAACAAAAAAAAAAACTGTTAACTTATTATCTAAGTTGTGACCAAACTAAGTTAATAAGATAAGTTACCAAGCTCTTAGCGTGGAGAGCTTTATTTTTTCTCTTCAATAACATTTTATTGAACGAAGTGGTGTGCCATTGTGAGCTAAATGTCAGGGGAAATAAACAGAACAAGCTATTGTGACTGAGCCAATGGTTAGCTAGACAGCTAACAGTTCACCTACCAGCCCCTGCATATAATCACTACATCACCAAGCTTCCAGTCGCCCACATTCACACTGATGAGTGAATGTCACTTCGCGGTATCAGTATCGAGCATGAGGAATATGTGCTGTTGCCACTTCACCAGCCAACTACGTGTTCAAGTAACAATGAACCAAATGTGAAAAAAAGCAACAACTCAACAACACAATCTGACTAACTGTCAGAATCATTTGTATTTCGCCTACACATTTTGGCACAGGGTCTTCATCAGGGTGATTTAAATCAAATGTGAAAAAAAAAAAAAAAAACGGTCACCATCACTAGTTGATATCCGGAAAAATCTTCTTTGAAATCACCCTGATGAACGTAACGTGGCCAAACACGTTGGTGAAATAAAGATTCTTCTAGTTAGTCAGAACATGTACACACTCTCACACACAGATGTGCGTGCAGACAGATTACTGTATACCTTTCTGCTTCCTCTATGAAAAACACTGTCTGTTATAATATATGTTCGTCATCAGCTGCTCCTCTCTCTACGCAGTTTTTCCCACTCTACAGTATGTTGAAGTTCTTTTCTTCACCCATACATCTTCCTGTCCTGACACAGGTCACAGGGACTTCCTGCTTGTAAACGGACTACCAGCCCAAAGACAAGATGAGAAGGTGAAATTAGGTGATATTAAAGTGGGAGAAACTAAAAAAGCACATACGCACACTTAAACGTATACTGGATTTGTGTGAGTATGTAATGGTGTGTTTACATGAGGAGCTCTTGCAGAGGAAAAGCCATCTGCATCTCCCTCTTTTCTCTTGTTGTTTTCTGTTTTAAGGTGAGCTGTGCTCTGTTATACAGCCCAGAAAACAGATGTCAATTTAACAATCCTTACACACTTGAAGTTTGTCTGCTGAAAACTCCAAAATCTAGAAATCAACTATCCTCTAATGACAAAATGACTGGAGTTTCTCAGATTGAGTCAGCTGTATCTTTTTTTTCAAACAGAAATGCAGACATGGATTAGTCTAAGCTTTGGTTCCATTTGCTGCTGTAAAAGGTGCAGAACAGATGGAAAATCTCATTTTCCTTTCTTGATAAAAGCCACATTTAAAAAGCAGTAAAGCTAAATGAGCCTGTGACTGTTTCCAAAACTGCTTTCATTGGCAGGACAGGGAACATTTCCAATTAGTCTAACTAGTCTTAATATCTAAATGCAACTTTTAAGTACACTGACATTTCAATGCTGGCAGTAAATAAGGTCCTGAGTGACATCGCTCTCAGAAATCATGCGTTAGCTCCATGTCTGGAAGAGCTTCGTTCCCCCATGGAGCAGAGCTGTACGTGCTCCTGGCCTCGCTTAAAATACCAGCACTGTCATAAAGAGTGTGTTATGGATACACTGGCAGCACTGTTAATACAATGATGTAACAATCACTGCCCTGGCTAATGTTACCGTTAATGTGTATGTGTGGGTGTGTACATGTTTATCTGTCACCTGATTAATTAACTCAGAACTGACGGAGGCTCACAGTCACAGAGAAAACAGAGGTTACCAAGACGACAAACACTTTCTTTCTGATGCTGTAATTTTCTTTTTCTCTGTTTCAGACACCGGGAACTTTTGTCAACCAAAGTCTGTTCAGTATGTGGAGTTTGTATAGAAAGACACACTAAGAATGATGCACACTCACCTGTACAATCTCCAGCATCTCTGCTTTACTGATGTACCCATTGCCGTCCAGGTCATACATACTGAACGCCCATTTCAGCTTCTGCTCCAGCTTGCCACGTGACGTCACGCTTAGTGCGATGATAAACTCCCGGAAGTCTATCGTCCCATCGCCATTAGCGTCAAATGTGCGAAAGACGTGCTCGGCGAACTTTGAAGCGTCTCCGTAGGGGAAGAAGTTACCGTAGATCTTCTTGAACTCCTCCATGGAGAGGTTCCCGCTGGGGCAGTCCCTCAGGAAGCCCTTGTACCACTCCTGGATCTCATGCTCGGTGAAGTCGGTGCTCTCAAGCAGGTCCTGCATCACCTCAGGACGGAGCTTGCTGTTCTGCTTCCCCATGTTTGTCAGTCCTGTTGATCACTCTGCACACAACTGGGAGGACAGAGGAGGAAGAAGGTGATGCGTCAGGATGAGATAGATATCAACGGACAATTCAAACACAACAGCTTTTTGAATTTGGTCCCAACTGAAGGATAACAGGAGGAAAACAGTTGATCACACATGTATGAAATGTATAAATTAAAAAGCTATTTCAGTCTGTAGGCGGATGACAGTGACATCATCATGACAGGAGGAAAAGAAACCACCAGAGTAAGCTGAGGAGCAGAGCTGCTGTGTCCTTAAGCGGCTTCATCGAGGTATGAACCACAAATGTAAGACACCTTCGGTTTTAGACTTCACGTTGAGCAGGACTCAAATCACTCCCTTTTTAAAAACTAATAGAACTTTCCATGGAAAACAGCTTTGTGTACTCTGAGTACACACAGCGCCATATGCCCAACATGGGTTTAATTAGCCAATAAAATCTGTACACACACATTAAACTCAGCTTAGATGCACAGGGAGGAGAAGGTGGTGGAGTCAAATGATATTTAAGCTGAGCTGCTCAACAAACATCATTCAGATTCATTACCTCTTAAGAAACAATTCTTTAATTCACTTCCTGGAACTGGACTATGAGTGTTTGTAGTGCCAATCTTTATGAACAGGATAAAGCTTTATAATCCCTGTTTACAGTGTTTGTAGTTGATTAAAAATGTTCATGTCAAATGATAAATACAACATTCGCTATAATAGTAACAATGAGTCATGTAGGTGAGTCATCACCTACATGCAGTTGAGCCAGTCACTTTGTATTACAACTCAAAGTGCTTATCAAAGTAAGTGTTTGCTGTCTGTCATGTTGGGTGATTCGAACTTTGAAATTACAGCATGACCTGGATATAAAGGTCATAAAACACCTCATGGAACAGACTAGGACATTAACTTGTGCTGCCTGTTTATCAAGACAAACGGGGGAAAAGTATGTGATTGGTTGTCGTTCAGGCTGATGAACAATAACTAAGGTTATTGGGAAAAATAATAAATAAAAACAAATTTCGGAGAAAGTTTCACATAAAAAGTTTTAAAATAAAAACTGCTGGAATTAAATAAAAATGAAAATAAAGTATTACTGTAAAAAGAAACACAATTACATAATATTTCATTGTAATGAGTAAATCTTTACAATTCAATTGGGTTGTCATGGTTATTTTAAATATATAGTCTGTATTTACTTGTATAATCAGTTATTTCTTAGTGTCTTATTTATTTAATATTGGTCACTTTGGGCCTCCATACATTTGTTATAATTTACAAAATCCTCTTGTGATACTGGACAAAAGAGATAACAGACAAACAGACAGACAGACAGACGGATGGAGAATTAGAGTGAGTCAGGAAATAGTGACAGCGAGCCAAAAAGTGACAAAAGACACAGTGGAAAAGTTCTGAGCCTGTTTTTTATATGTCCTTTTGGTGACACAAACAGGAAGTGCCTTCTCCTGGTCTAAGTGAGATTGTGCTCTCAATACAGTAACCATGCTCTATGTGTGCATGAGCGTCTACATGCTCATATTTGATCTGGTGTGTATTCAGCTCTGTGCACTGCCCTCTTACACCTACTTTGGGCTTCACTGTGAAAAGTCTCAGGAAATGAGTTACCTGTGTACTGAAAACCACCAAGGGAGGTCTTTAAATGCAACCACCCTATAGGAATCCACGAGACACAGTTACAACTGCAGAAAGTTTCTTTTTCACATCCTTGTGAGCAGGTCACCTGCAGTGTGTAGTTACCTACTACAATCACATATTAAGAGAAATGAGAAAAAAGAGCTGCAGGTCTCACTCACTGCAGTTGAATCTACCAACAGCTCAAGTCAATCATAGTAAAATATAGTCCTGCACACAAGGTTCAACCAAGGCTGCCACTAAGAAGAAATTCCACAATGTAAGCAAGGATATTTGACAAGTGATAACTTATCGGAGACTTGAACGATCTGCTCTCAGAGTCTGATGGAAAAGCTTGCGCTCACACTGAGCTGTAAAACACAGTAAAACATCCAGTGTGGTGGCCAACAGCTTCTCTCTGGTAAACATGATGACGAAAACAGCTCCAGTGTCTCAGTGGGACAGAATCATAATCAAGTGAAACAATCACTTGAGTGGTGAATGAATGAATGGAGGAATGATTTTTGCTGCATTATTTTCGCCTTTGTTTACTTCTATCAGTGACTATTGTTTGCACAGCCACGCGGAGCACTGCATAACATTTAAACAGCAGCATACCGAAAATGTGGGAAGGGAGATAACATGGAAATAGATGCACAATTTAACAAGGTGAACGTAGAGTAGTATATCAATAAAAACAAGATAACCTGGAGAGTAACACAAAGGAAGAAAGGAGTCTCTCAAGGCCATGTGGAAGTTAACCCAGCTACTAACGCTACACATGACAAGGTTCTCACTGTAATCTTGAGTAAAACCTAGGATGTTGACAAAAAATGAATAAGACTAAGAGTCAGCCATGCTAGCAGCTCTGTGAGGCTGCACTTAGACACTGCGGGGCTTAGAGCTAAATGCTAACATCAACATGCTCAGAAAGACATTGTATATTTAGCAGGTTTAATGTTCACCATGCTCATCATCTTAGTTTAGTGTATTAACATGCTAATTAACACATTTGCTAATTAACACTAAACACGAGTGACATCTGAGGCTGATGGTAATGTCTTTAGTTGTACAGGTATTTGGTCATAAACACTATGAGCACATTGATATTTCGACCTGATCAAAAGTCAGAGGATCATAAACGTCATCAGTGGTTTTTAGACATTTTACTCAAAACCACAAATGTCAACCTCATGGTGGCAATAGTGGAAAAGACAAGAGATCACCAGCGTCATTAGGATTCATTCTCTGAACCACAAATGTCAAACGTAAACTACAAATTTATGGAAATTCATCCAATAATGTTGCACTGCTTTGTAGCACTTTACAGATTCTACTCAGACATGAAATTTAATTACTGACTTTTAGATGGTTTTATCCATTTCCTCCACAGAGTATCCGGTTTATTTGTTTTCTCTCTATCTACTTTCACCAAATCTAGTAAAAAAAAAAAAAAAGACATCACACATCAAAAACAAGACACATGACAAAGAAATGCACAGCCTTCAGAATTAAATGAAAGAGCAACAAAGATTTTAAAATTTGAGTAAAAAAAACAAACATCATAGACCTTCAGATGTTTGTTTTTGGCACATGTAATATCATGATTTTCATCCTCTGTCCTTTAATGGCAAGTGAAACTGCACAACTGAGTGTTTTGTTGAGAAAGCTAAAGTAATTTGCCAATTACTGCACTGTTGCCGTTACAGCAACTGACCCTCAGAGTGATTTCACTTCAGTGTGTTGCCAAGCCTTTACTAATGGAATCACAGTCATGACCCTGTCCGCTGCTACAACACAGTCTCCATACGCACGCAACAACAGACTGTCTGACTGACATCGCTGTCCACAGCCATGCCATTAATGTGGCTAAAAGGTACAAACAAACTGCTAAAATACAAACACACACGCACACGCACACGCACACGCACACACACACACACACACACACACACACACACATTGTGGTCCTCACTCCTGCTTAGGGTATTTTATGATTAACTTTTGGATTTAGGTTTAAATTTGCTTATAGTTGGTTATTTCAGGGATGAATGTAGTAAAAAAAAACAAACAAACAAAGAAACAGAAATATAAAGATGTTACTGTATGTGGGCTTATACAGTGAAAAGAGAACAGAAGTTTGCATATGTACTGCACTGTACATTTGAGACTGACAGCAGCTGCCATTAAAAGGAGTAGGCATGGGTGAGTGACAGAACACATCTCTGTGCCTCTCAAAGGTGCCGCATGCTTCACTGAGCTATTCAGAAAGCTAGACAGCATTGGAAAGCTGCTTTCTCACAGTTGGGCTGGGGGTGGCATATCTAAACATTTCTTTCTGACTTTCCAAGAACAGACAATCTGACAGTCTACGCCCACTTTCCACAACAAAACGCCAGGTGGACTTAGACGGGATAATAGGAGGATTCTGGGTTGGTCCATAAATTCAGTTTTGTTGCTTCATGTGCTTCTTCTGTCATCACATCAATCGCTTTCATCTACAACTGTTAGCTTTCATTTTTTTTACTGTTTATCAACAGATTTTATTAATGACATGAATAAAAGGGGTCTTGTCATGATATAATATTATTGTAATAATAATATAATTCCCCTTGACCGGCTGGATTGTCAAGTGGAATTGGTTATTATATTTTGGCTAATTATATTGATATAACATGTTATTACAATAGTGAAGCGTTGGCAGGAGACAGAGTTTTCAAACAGCTGGAGTTATATTTCATTTTTAATTAGCTAGCTAGCTACTGTTGATCAAATCTACCAATGACAGCCAGCAGCCAGAAGTAAAGAGCCTGATTTTCTCTGCCTCTGTCTGAAAACAAGAACGTATTGTTTCAAAGAAGAATTTTAAGTGGTGAATCTGTCAGCGTTATCGTTCCAAAATGCATATGTGCTCTGCAAGAATGGAAAGATAAACAGACGTAGCAGCAGCAAGAAAGGGGCCCGGGGCTTAGTGAAAGGTCAAATGAGTGCATCATAGTGATGAACATTTTCTGTTTCAAGCAAAAATAAAAAGAGAACAAAACTTTTCTTGGAACAAAATGAAATTTAACACAAGACATGAAGCACAGAGGCAGCTCTGAGAGGCCTTTACTGCTGAATACTGCCACTGAGGCAAGCTGCTGCTCCAGACTTTTTTGGGGGCTTTTTTGATGGTGGACAGATTTCAGCTGTTGCAGGGGAGTGTGTTACTTCATCATAGCTCTGATAAAACGTGGAGGCAGATCAGAAATCAGAGCAACTGCAACTGCTTTGTTCCACAGGGTCTACACAAGTTAGCAATGAAGTTAATCTAAAAAGAGGTCTTCAAGTGTGTGACTAGCTGTTTACAATCCCACGCTCCTCTATCATGGACAGTTTCTTGC